GTACCTGCAACCCCCTGCCATGGTGGGTGAATGTGGAAACGTCCAGAGAAACCCTCCCACACACCCTCAGCTCCCCTCTCCTCCTCAACCCGACTTCTACAGACTCTAATATTTCAACTAAGATTAAAATCAGCTCCTCACGCAGCGCTGCAGAGCCAAAGAGGGCCATCTTGTGAGCTCTTGCTCCTTCTTTCAGCTCATTTTGTGTTTGGTTTTTTTCCCCCACAAAACCCCCTGACAGGTTTTATTAAATGATTAAATGCAGCCGGCAAATAGAGATTTGGAAAAGTAAGTGTGACAGGTAAAGACAGATAACGAGGTTCAGTATCAGAGGTTAATGACGCTGCAGCTGCGTTTTAGATCGTGTTCAGTGAAGAACTGTGATGATATGTGTTTCCAACCAGAGGGAGGGATGTATTATGTATTTCTAAACTTTCATCCGAGTGTTTAATTATGTTTTCTTCACAAAAAACTGCTTTAATACAGCTTAAAATGAACAAAATGATAATTTTAAGTGAGGAAATATATGATTTAAAAAGCACCAACACCAGTCCTATATTCAAAATCCTCACATATTACAAGGAGTTTTTTTTAACTATTTCTATATAATTATTATTTATTCTGCCTGCCACCGGACCAGATTTGGTACTGTATAATAAAAACTGTCCCCCCTCGGGTTTCTGAAGAGCCAATGTAAAGCTCAGTGTGGTCGACTCTGGCAGTCGCCATCTCGTCCGTCCTGACTTCGGTGGAGCTGAATGAAGCCTGGTAATTTAAAGAGGTGAGTTATATAAAAATACAGAAATACAGAAATTATCTCTAGAGACCAAAAGGCTGTAAACATGTTTATTTCTGCTGTAAAGTTGGACATTTTAATATGAGGCCTTATGGAGACCGACTCACTGCAGGAGCCAGCCTCTTTCTAATCACCGACATTAGGCGGTACAAACACTACCGGTTCTGTCCACAGGGGGCCGACAAAATCAACACAAAATGAGAAAATGTTCCTTGTTGCTGCTTTAAGTAAAAGTTATCAGTGAAAGTGGATATGAAACGAGCATGTTTGTTGCACGTAGTACAAACATATAAAAAAAAAACACCTTGACTTAAGTCTGATTTTAATTTTTTTTTTTTCGTAATTTCAACCTAGCGGCCATTTTGGAGTGACGTCATTGCCTACGTAGCGCGTTGGGTTGGTTCGGCGTGCGGGTTTGTATCAAAAGTACTCACTGTGGGCCTTGTTCTGTTATATTAATAGATGGTTAATAACGACAACATCTGTAATAATGCAACACATCTCACAAGATCCTCACATATTTTAAACTTTAATTTATAAAGTTACAAGTGACTCCAGCTGTCAGATAAATGGAGTAAACTTGAAGAGAAAATACAAAGTAGCATAAGTCTATTCTGCAGTGGGACACTACTTGAGTTGCAAGTTCAGTCTTCATCTTTGTGATTTCAGTTTTAAAACACCCACAGCCGTCTCTAGAAACCTCAACGTGACGACACGACTCCAGGAAGTCACTGCTTTCCGACAAGACATAGTCCTGCTCGTAGAAAAACCCCCCAAACACCGTCGGTACATTTCTGTTTTTGTCCGGATGAAACAAACAAGACATAACAAGTTAAAGTGAGCACTGGACGGAGCAAGGCTAGCTGTGTCCCTCTGTTGCCAAGCTAAGCTAACCGGCTGTAGCTTTATATTTACTGTACAAAACATCATCTGACCTCCGCCTCGTGTCTAAAACACCATCATAGCAGGTTTGAATGAAGAAAAAGTTTCAACACATTAGATTGAAAACTTTCTAAGATCTTTTTAAGACCATTATGAATCCTATTTAATGGAGGATTCGTATTGATTTCCGCGTCGGCTTCGTTTAATAGTTTCAGATCAATACAGACTGCTCCTGAAAGCGAGAGTTAAAAAATGCAACTTCAAGTAATGTTGTTAATCCAATATTAAAACCTGTCGAAATCATCTTTAAATCACTTACAAGGAACTTTTTCTTATTTTGTGTTGATTCTGGCGCCTCCTGTGGACGAAAGTGGTAATGTTTGATTTCAAGTAGTGATTTCAATAACTATATAAAACGTCTCTGATGGTCTTGTTCATTATATAAGTCATATAGAGGCATCAAAAGCCAATGAAAAACTCCTCGTTTGTGACGTTTTACAACCTGAAATCTAGAGTTTGGGATTTTTATGACCCCGAGGACATCCTGATCACATCTGATGGCGTTTTAAAAACAAAAGTGAACAGTTTGAACATAATCAGAATCAATCTTCACCAGAATGTAAACGATTACTTTTCCTTGTCTTGGGATTTCTCTCCTGGTTGGATCAGAGTTACTCAGAGATGCACAAAATTAAAATTGTTGCCCACCGGACGCTGCAGAGGTCATGGGTCGGGTTAAAAATGGATATTGCTGTGTGAAATGATTCGGCACTGGTTTGGCTCCTCCACTAGGCCTCAGAGTGAAACCTGTACCGATCCACTTCCTGTCCTCCATGTGCATGCTGGGAACAAACTTCCTAATAATCAGCAGAGAATATAAAACGACAGAAAACTCACCGACACCTGTCGACAAGCGGCGACTGCAGAGACGGTTGTGTGGCGGCGAGGAGGGCGGAGGATCGGTGAAGTTTTCGGGGCCTGCGGCTGGTCTCGTGTCCCCCCGCGGTATCTGGTCCACATCAGGCGACTACTATAACCAATCTTCCATTTCTGAAGACTTCTTTTCTCTCTTTCTCCGTCTTCTCTTCTTTCTTTCAGTCGACCTCGTGTGTCTCTCCTCCCCGACGATCTGATCTGGTGTCAGATCTGCACCTTCAGCAACCTACTTGGCTCTTCCTCCCTCCCTCTTTGTCACCGACTCCCTCACTCCTCTGTCATCACTGCACCCAATCACCTTGGGTTTGGTTTCACCTCCCGCCACAGACCCTCTGATCTCAGCGTTTCCTACCAGGAAGGTGACGGTCGAGCATCAACGCGGGTCACGACTGTCCGAAAGAGACGGAGCGGCGGCCTCTGAAACTTCAGAAAACACACAAAGATCAATGACCTGATCAATGGCCCGAACCTTGAGATCACAGTTACAGAGTGTGAGAGTGTGACAAACCACTGCAGGTTGACTCACCAACAAACCAACAAGCAGAAAGGTTCACAGCTCTCTGAGTGTGTGTGGGCTGATCAAACTGGCCTCTCTCAACACCTCAGCTGCAAACTGCAAACTGGCGGTGGAAATTGGAAGAGAAGACCTGCAGCTCAGAACAGCAAAATGTCAGAAAACAAAAAAAAAAGAGTTTCACACAAACACCTCGAGCCAATCAGGAGACGTTAACTGTGACACCTCAGAGCGTCGCCGGGTGTTAAAAAGCTGCAGCGCTGCGTGCAACCGTCTCAACATCCTCCCACCTACAAACAGGAAACCACACCGAGGGAAGGAAGCCGAGTCCTCTCCTCTTTGCTCCTCTCCTGTCCCCGCTCGGCCTCTTTTCTCCTCCTGTCGAGAGAAGAGGAGAGGAAAGAGAGGAGAAACCCCCAAATGAATGAGGGAGGAGAGAGGGGACACCGGCTGTGTATGGGGCTGTTTTCTGCCCAGTTGAGCTGCTTGTTACTTGGTGGTGCAGGTACAAATGTTTAGTTAGTCCACAATCTGATCCCAGTGAGCTCAGCTGCCAAACTTTTACACTTTATATAATTAAAAACACACAATGTGCCTTTATGTGAGCAGTGATGGAAACAGCGTACAGCTCCTTTACTCAGAAAACAATGTGGAAACACTGTGACTGCAAGTGACGTGCAGTTCTTGCTCTCTGAGGGTTTTCAAACTGTATTTTTTGGTTTTACAAGACAAAAGACTTGAAGGACGAGGACTGACTGGTTGTTTTTGGTAAATGTGCGTCTGGTTAACCGCCCCTCCTACGTTTAAGAGCGGCACAAAGCGGAGTTTTACTATGAGAACCATCCACAACCGACACCCACGCAGACCCACACAGTCAGTCACAATGCATTATAAGCACATTCATGAGACATTATAATGCATTTAAATGGCTTTAATAAACCTAAACAAGGTTTATAAAGTATTATAAGTGGTCATCATGTATTCTAAGTTTAGCATTCCCATTGTCACATTAAAACCACCATAACTTTATAAAGTCACAGAAAGAACATGTTTTTAATTTAATAATGTGTCAGAAACATCAATAATACGCTATAACATGACTTAAAGCTCCAGTGTAAAACATTTAGGATCTTTTACTGTAATATAATATCTATAGGTTTGTTTTCATTAGTTTATAATCAGTCGTAAATAAGAATTGTTGTTTTCGTTACTTTAGATTTTCTTCTACGGAGTCCACCAGGTTACAGTATAATAAGTATATATCTTCTTCTGTAGTAACTCGATCTCCATGGGACCTTTTGTGTTTGTTGCTCATTCCCAGGTTGTCAAATACAGACGCGAGCAGTGTTCAGTTAGTTGCAATCTGCAACTCCACTGCTAGATGCCGCTCAACCCCACCCACTGGCTCTTTACTGTATAGACTGTATAACGCCGTTAGCTCGTTACGAAGCTCATTTAGATCAAACATTAGATAGCTAGTTAGCTGGTGTTTGCTAACATTAGCTAACTGAAGATGTATTGTGACTCTCAGGAACGAACTCTCTCCGGCTGTAATGGATGCAGACGACGTTAGTTAATGTTCAGTTTGGAGTTTTTATGCAAAACAAAGATGATGAACTTTAATGTCAATACTTAAATGTTACATTCACAAGCTTTGTGGCGTTAAAACTCTCTGAACTACTTTATATCTATATATAAATATATATATATATATATATATATATATATATAATCATAAATAAAGTAGTTCTATAGATACCATATATCTATATATATATATATATATATATATAAAATAACTCACACGGTCTGTTCTCTCTGACTGATAATCTAATTCTTTCCCAGGCGGACACAAACACACACAGACATGTGACAAGTTAATTCTCCTTTAATAGTTCACAAAAAAGATTTGCTAAAATAATTTGAGGTTAACAAACAAGTGTTGATTATTAACATTCATTTAAAAGCCTTTTTCTCTTTTTAAATAACCATTAAGAGGATATTTTCTGTGCTCTACCTCCAACCTCACGCCAAGAACAAACAGAAACAGTTACAATAAAACGCCCCGGCGCTTTAACCGGCGCTCCTTCACACCCTGGAAACAACGAAGTAAAAGCAGTCGTAATGCTAAAAGATAAAGAGATGAATAAAAAGGAACAGAGGGGATTGTTTTCTGCTTCTGTAGGTTAGTGTTATCATTAAAACTAGCTCAGACGTATACAAACACATGGTTATGAAAATGACTAATAAAGCTCGTCCCGTATATAAAAGAGGTTTCTGGAAGCGATCCGGTTTTAAATGGAAACCCCACAGAGCGGATTCTGTCGCTCGGAGAGTCTCTAGTGCTCGTTTTCAACATCATGTCCGCTCTGAAACGTCTCACGTCAAAAAAATAACATCTGGAGACAAAATGCAAAAAAGTTGCTCCGAGATGGCGGGCAGCGGTAAAAGTATAAAAAAAAATAAAAATGAAAAATAAACACGTGCTAAAAACTCTTCTGCATGGCAGACAGTGCGGTCGCTGCTCACAGTCCTGGAGTTCTGGAGCCGGCCCAACCTCCGGCACACCTCAGATCAGAACGCTGGACACCGGCACTCTGGTGGACCGGCCGCTCTTTGGGACGACGATCGGCTCGTCATCTGTTAACAGAAACAACGAGAAGGTCTATATGAGAGAAGATTTATATGAACCAGAACTGTCGAGTACCAGAGTTTTCTGTTAGTCTGGGTCTCTCTCGAGCATCATGAGCTTTAATAATCCGCTATATGGACAATATGGGAGCGTTTCAGGGCTTATTGAGGATGCTGAATCCATTCTTTTCAAAATGGCTGAAAGTGAACACATTTCAACTCCCAGTCGGCTGATTTTAAATATAATAGGTTATTTATATGATAAATACATTGGACCTGCCTTTTAGAATCAATAAAGCTCAGAGTCATTGGTGTGAATGTTCAGATTTGATATATATTAATTATATAATAACCTCACAGTCAGCCCACCGGCAGCTGAAATATGGTCACCTAAAGTTCAAACATCTATTTTGTATTTTTAAAATGTCAGAAATAGATTCAGCGTCCTCAATAACCCCCAAACACCCTCCTATATTCTTATTATTAATGCTAATTATGCTCACTGTCCAACATATGCAGGTTAGCATCAGTCACAGTAACAGCTGGAGACCCAAACTGAACATTTCTAACAGAAACTCAGTGGTTCTGGTTCACAGTGAGACTCTTCGTCAGGTTGCAGATTATTTTAAAAAGAATAAATAAAGTCAAACTAATTAAAATCTGACACTGACAGTATAAAGATCACAAACGTTAAACACCACGGTGACGAATACAGAAACAATCTAAAGTTCTCCATCAGTACTTTGTTTCCTGTCACCGGTTTAGCGTCGCTGCTGTCGGTCAGTGCTGCTGCAGGTGTGAGTGGCAGGGTCCGCCTCACCTGTGGGGACGTAGTTCTCGGCGCGGTGGCGGTCTTTCTCGATGAAGAGGGCGGTGGCGAGGAAGAATCCTCCGCCCACCACGGCCACGAAGGAGCAGAGCAGCAGAGAGAGCTGCAGGGAGCGAAACTGCCAGAGGAACGAGTCCGTCTTCCTCAGAGAGTCCGAGACCTGAGACCCACAACAGACCGGAGAATATATATACAGAGAGAGTGTGTGTGTGTGTGTGTGTGTGTGTGTGTGTGTGTGTGTGTGTGTGTGTGTGTGTGGACGTACCACCCCGATCATGTACGGACTTCCTGCGTCTCCCAGCAGATGTGAGATGACGATCTGCAGAGCCTCGGCTGTGGAGCGCCGTGTGGGAACGACGACGTACTGACAGAGAGACAGACAGAGAGACAGACAGAGAGAGACAGAGAGACAGACAGAGAGAGAGACAGACAGAGAGAGAGACAGACAGAGAGAGAGACAGACAGAGAGAGAGACAGACAGAGAGACAGACAGAGAGAGAGACAGAGAGAGAGACAGAGAGAGAGACAGAGAGAGACAGACAGACAGAGAGACAGACAGACAGACAGACAGACAGACCGAGAGACAGACAGAGAGAGACAGAGAGACAGACAGAGAGACAGACAGAGAGAGACAGAGAGACAGACAGAGAGACAGACAGAGAGAGAGACAGAGAGACAGACAGAGAGAGAGTAAGATTAAACATGAACTTTAATTGAAACATTAATAAATAAAACAGTTTACTGTTTGTATCACGCTGCTTCATAAAGAACTAAACAGGTTCTGGTTCAGGTTCTGGTTCTGGTTCTGGTTCAGTGTGAATTAAATGAAAGAGTCTCACCAGCAGGATGTCTGCCACCACGGCCCAGTTCATGGACAGGAACGTCTCTCCGAGGAAAATGAAGACCTGAAGGACAGAGATCAGTTGATGAAGAGGAGCGGAGGACGTTTCTACTGGAACAGATTTAACATGCGAGGGGGCGGAGCCAGCAGAGGTCAGAGGAGCTGTGGACTCACGTATGTGGCGATGGTGCTGGTCTGAGCGAACACGATGGCCAGGTAGAGGAACGGCGCCGAGAGGAGCAGACCGGCGGCACACACCAGAGGGTCGGCTCTGGCCGTCTTCTTCCTCAGCTGCCGACTGACCTGCACGCCGCTGGCCACGCCCAGAATGCCCGTGACGCAGGTGATGATCCCGAACAGCAGACTGTGGGAGGAGAAACGTAACCTTAAAAGATCTGTTCATCTCCACCGGGGGGGGACGGGGACGTACATGGCGAAGGCGGCGGGACTTACCTTTCTGAGGAGGCGCAGTTTCCCTCCACGCAGGGCTCTTTCTCCCCGGTGAACACGGCCGCTCTGAACAGGAACGTTGGAGCCCAGAGAGCCAGAGAGCCAGTGACGAACGCCACCGCCGTGAAGCCCAACGTGGACAACACGAAGCTGTGGCTGCAGAGGAAACGGACATTTCAGTTATCAGGGTGGAGCTCCACCTGGACGCTGTCTGGGAACCCCATAGGAATCTTTTTTTATTTTTATTTCAATCAAATTCCAGGTGTTTCCAGGGCTGGAAAACTACATTTCCAGGTTCTCCAGGATGTGTGGGAACCCTGGTGATGACGAGAACCTCTGCGGGGAACAGCGCTGTTTCTGTTAAACTAAAAGGACTTTCTGTCACTGAAGCACCAGTTTCCGTTTCCATAGTGACTCAGAACTACAGAAACTACAGAAACACGATGTCTGCACGGCGCTGCAGGCTGGAGGCGACGCAGTGTTTCACACGCCGCTCTGGTTCATTCATTTTATCGATGCAGATCATACCTGGACTGTTCTGATTGGTGTAAAATGTCACACTGACAGAACCGACGCCTGCTGTGTGTGAGCGCGTCCTCAGTGAACCTCCACTAAACCCTGTTCATACCTCCTCAACCACTGAGCACTGACTGGAGCTGATGTACATCTCATATGATATATTCAGTAAGAACAAACAGTGAACTCAGGAACTGCAGGGAGTTTGTGTAAAACCAGAGATTTGGATGAATTGTTTCCTGTTTGGGGAACTTTTAATATGATTCTTCTTTCTTTAACAATCAGACTAAATATTCTTCGGTTCTGACAGATTCACTGTTTCGTCCTCGTTGTTCTATCAGCTCTGTGGTTTCTGATGGAGGCCGTTTGTAGTTCAGCTCTTTAAGGTTTATATCTTAAATAATCTCAACTTTAACAATAACTACTGACGGAACCGACGTTGGACCTACTTCGTGCTCAGAGCCCGCAGGTCCGCCAGCCAGCTGGTCTGGTGCAGGTGGTGCTCCGGTCGAGCCTCGATGGCTCCTCTTTTGGGCTCTTTAACCACGAAGATCAGCAGCAGCACCGCGATCACTCCCAGCCCCGGGGTCACCTGAGGAGAGAGAGAGAGAGAGAGCACGGTGAGTCCAGGTCCAGGTCCCACGAGTCCCAGACAGACCTCTGTGCCTCACACTCACCCGCAGAGCCCAGTGCCAGTCCTGAGTCACTCTACCGACTTGTGAGCCCACGATGTACCCGAGACCGCTGACGGGGAGAGACGATACCGACAGGAAGGGTTAATATTTATAACAGCTGCACATTATCAAACACACGAGCTTCACACCACCTACCTGCCCACAGGGATGGCAAAATAAAACACGGAGAGCATGTTCGTCCTCTTTCCCTTCACGTAGAGGTCGGCGATGATGGTGGGAGCGATGGTGGAGTAACTGGCCTCTCCGACTCCGACCAGACCGCGAGTCAGCAGCAGAGCCCAGAAATGCTGCAGGGCAATAAAAGAGAGGGAGGGGTTATATTTGTTTATGAGATCAATAAGTATTAATCAGCATCCTGTTAAAGTGACGGACTGATGGAGGGAACAGGAAACAGGACTCACCTCTTTGGGCGTGTAGGAGCTGGCGAGCGTCACCGCAGACCAGAACGTGATGCCGACGCTCATGATGAGCTTCCTGTTGTACCTGTCGCCCAGGTAACCGAAGACCGGAGCCAGAAACATATAACTGCAGATAAAAACTGGAAGGGAACAAACAGTCGTCACTTAGCTTCCTTCTGATTTTAATGTGGTCGAATGTTTGAGGAGAAAAACAATGAAATGTAAAAGGAGGATCTGACCGTCTTTACTTTATTTCTGATAAATAATAATAATAATATCTTTACTTATTAAAAGATCTTCTTACCTGTTTGGAGTAAGCCGGACTTCCCATCATCAATCCCAAAATAGTTCTCAATGTCAGTGAGAACACCTGGTGGAGTGAACACACGTCTTCATTTCACCTCTCAACATATTAAAAACATTAATGTGTCTCTGTAACAATTAATAATCAATAATAAAAGAGATAAACAACACAAATAAAAAGAAAAACCTTAAGATGGGTCAATTTCTAAATAAAAAAGCTCCAAAGTCTTTTAGTTGAACATGTAAAGGTTTAAAATGTCTTAATGTCAGCATACAATTGATCATTTCTAAAGAATATATTCAATAATAAATAAATCAATAATTTACATTTATTTGGATTTAATGTGATCTTTCGTACTGCTCCGTCTGTAACAACTCAAACGTCTTTACAGGAAATAAATTACTTTTTATTCTGAATCAATCAAAGATGATAATTATTATATATTATAATATATTGTTATAAATGGTCTATAATGTTTATTGATCCTCCAGGAGACCCTCAGTGGGCGGGCGGCGGTACCTGCCACGGTGAACCTGTCCATGTAGTTGAGCAGGTTGATGAAGAAGAGGATGAAGACGGTCAGCAGCGCTCGGACGTGGGACACCCCGCTGGCCGGTTCCTCCTGCGGTCGCTGCCCCGCCGCCCCCCCACCCTGCTCCTCCGCCTCGCTGTCATCGGAGAAGAACGGCGTGGAGTCCGACGTGGGCTCGCCCAGAGACATGGCCGCTGCTGAGGAGACAGATCAGTCCATCAGGAACAAACTCAGAGTCAAACGTTCTTTAATTATTTATCTGTTCAAAGAGCTGAAAACATCTGGAACAAGAGCCGGACTGGAAGGGGTTAAAGGTCACTGATAGTCTGGAGCCAGACCATAGATTACTCTGGAGGTAGTTAATGACATTTTAATGTCAGACTCCACAGAGGTCAGCTGTGTGTGACTTTAACTGTCTTATTAAAATTCTCTCCATGTCTCTTATTTTGAAAAGCTTTCTGAACTGATAAAAACAAGCTTGTGGTTAAATATAAAAGCTCCTCCATCAATCATCAACAACCCAACAGTGTTGTTGTTTAACTGCAGAGTGTTAAAGTGACACAGGTGAAACAGCCGCCGCAGGTAAACTGGAACTTCCTGTTTCTGAGACACGGAGGGATGAGCTCCGACCTGCACGCTGCCCCTACTTCCTGTTCGCTATCGGGTGGCGTAACAATGAAAATATTAACCTTCATCACAGACACGCACAAATCAAACTACTGAAACACCTCCTCACAGTTTATGATTAGGTTTCCTGATTGTGTAATGTTTGATTCTGTAATAATAAATGTGTTAATGTTGGAGGCAACGTGTGACGAACTGCAGACTGTTTAATAAAGAGCGACACACACACACACACACACACACACACAAAACACACACTCTACACACACACACAAAAAACACACACACACACAACACACACACACACACACACACACACACACACACACACACACACACACACACAATTAGGATTTTAATAGTTTTTGAACATTAAAGCTGCAGTTGGTGATTTTTATAAAAATATTTTTTGTCATATTTTCTGAGACTTTCTCTGAATCCTGACGGCAGAACATCAGACGGATAATGTGAGAAACAATCAGCTTCCTGTGGTTTCTCCTGGTTCCTCCTGGTTCCTCCTCGCTCCTCCTGGTTCCTCCTCGCTCCTCCTGGCTCCTCCTGGTTCCTCCTCGCTCCTCCTGGTTCCTCCTGGTTCCTCCTGGTTCCTCCTCGTTCCTCCTGGTTCCTCCTGGTTCCTCCTGGTTCCTCCTCGCTCCTCCTGGTTCCTCCTGTTTCCTCCTCGCTCCTCCTGTTTCCTCCTGGTTTCTCCTCGCTCCTCCTGGCTCCTCCTGGCTCCTCCTGGCTCCTCCTCACTCCTCCTGGTTCCTCCTGGTTCCTCCTCGCTCCTCCTGGTTCCTCCTCGCTCCTCCTGGCTCCTCCTCGCTCCTCCTGGCTCCTCCTCGCTCCTCCTGGCTCCTCCTGGTTCCTCCTCGCTCCTCCTGGCTCCTCCTGGTTCCTCCTCGCTCCTCCTGGTTCCTCCTGGTTCCTCCTGGCTCCTCCTGGTTCCTCCTCGCTCCTCCTGATCCACCGGGCCCGAACGACAACAACCAATCAGAGCCGAGGAAGACAGCTGATAGTTGACGTACTTTGTGAATCGTGTCTCAAAGATCGCAGTGTGACGTTTTCACCACGACGCTCCGACGCTAACGTCGTCCAACAGCAACCGCAAACACGACGGAAACAGCCGGATCAATCGGCCTATCGGGGAGGAGCAACAGTGAACGCCATTCAACCAAACCCGGTGAATTCTGCAACCCTGAAACAGTTTACTGAGAAAAACCCTGAGTCATACGTCCACAAAGCCACTTCCTGGATTCTAGTGAAATTCTCCCTGCAACCGGCCGCCATCTTTAATGACTCATATCAAACACTTCACTTTTATTTATTGAAAAGAAAAAGTATTTTTTTTAAAGAGAAGCTGCCCAGTGAGCTCCTCCTGTTGCTCCTGTTGCTCCTGCAGAGCCTCAGACAGCGCCGAGGTGACGGTCCCGAGCTCCAGAAGAGGAAGAGCCAGTGAAAGGAGAAGCTGTGAAGGACGTGACTGAGTGAAACTGCAGTCATGTGATCAGTGCGAGGATGAGGAGGGTTTCAGTCATGTGATCAGTGAGAGGATGAGGAGGGTTTCAGTCATGTGATCAGTGAGAGGATGAGGAGGGTCATCAGTCGATATATAACATAAACACTTTTCCTCGTGTTCACATTTGTACAGTTTCAGGTTTCTCTCTGACAATTAAAGCTCCTTTGAGGAAATGTGCGTTTTATTTTCACGGGACACTTCCTGTCACACGCTGTTGTTATCAGCGGTTATTGATCGACTGATAGACTCGTTCTCGCCACATTGACTCTTAAAGATCTGGAGGAAGGAGAAACTTACTCTCACTCTTCCTCAACAACTCGTCGTACGTACAAAGAACTTTTATCTGTAAATAACAACAGAATAACCTGTAAACGTTTCCAGAGTAAAACGTCGGAAACACAAACATTATAAAAAAGTGAAAAACATCTGAAGAGATTTTGGCGCCTTCAGTCTGAAACCAAAAGATATTCAGTTCAAAAAGATATTTAAAAAAGCAGCTCGGTAAAAACTGCAACCAGAATATTAAATCAGTTCATTAATTATTCAAATGTTCCCGTAAATCAACCAAATTATTTATTTTTTAAAGACTGTATGAATGCTGAAGGTTTGGGTTGTTTTTAAAAGTACTATTGGTTATACAGTTACACTATATATATATATATATATATATATATATATATATATACATAAATAAATAATAGATATATAATATATTTCTATTACTTTGTTGTCTATACAAGTTATATTCAAATGAGGTAAACTGATTACATTAAAAATTTTCATTAAATTACAAAATAAAGTCAGAGTCACTTAAAATCACTAAAGTTACCTGATCAATTAAGTTTTTTAACTCACAAAATTAAGTTAATTTTACTTAAAATTCTCTACGTAATAAGTTCCAACAATTATTTTAATTAATTTAACTGATCTGGTTTTACAGTGAATGATTAGGTGATTCATCAAGTCGGAGATCTAAAGAAAATTAATCAGCAAAAATTCTGATCAGTAATTATTCATTAAGGTTATTTATTTGTAATAATTTAATTTCATATATATAATAATAATAATAATAATAACTTAAATATAAAGATATAAAGTTTCCTGTGAGAATAAATTGATTTAATGACATTTTATAGACCAAACAATCGATATTGATCACTGCAGCTCAGCCGGACAATATCAATAATAAACTTAATAAATGTTATTAGATAATCTGTGTTAAAAAGTTAAAGCAAAGGTTAAAAACATATTTCAAGATATCTTCTTTTCCACGGAGACATTTAATCACTATATTACATTATTGATTAGATTTAATCATTGTATTACTTTATTGATTAGATTTAATCATTGTATTACTTTATTGATTAGATTTAATCATTGTATTACATTATTGATTAGATTTAATCATTGTATTACATTATTGATTAGATTTAATCATTGTATTACATTATTGATTAGATTTAATCATTGTATTACATTATTGATAGATTTAATCATTATATTACATTATTGATTAGATTTAATCATTGTATTACATTATTGATTAGATTTAATCATTGTATTACATTATTGATAGATTTAATCATTGTATTACATTATTGATTAGATTTAATCATTGTATTACATTATTGATTAGATTTAATCATTGTATTACATTAACTCGGATGTTGTAGAGAAAGTCAGACTGGCGCTGCTGTGATATCCTTATCTTGAACTTTGACCCGGTGGCAAACACACCTCATTGATCAGGGAGCTCTGGGTATTGATCAGGTGTTCATTGATCCCCACTGCCGCTGCTCTGCTGTCTCTAACTCACATTTCAACTGTCCACAGACTCAATAAGCCGCCACTGCTAAAAATACCCGCAGCTAACCCGGGCTGTGGACGCCATTGCGAACTCCATTAACAATTCTGACATTTTAACGCAGCTCGCTTTATAATAAACAGTGTTACTTTCTGACGGTTGAGAAATGACTCGGTGCCTTTTAACTGCTCTTATGATAAATTCACAGCAGCTAAAAAACATGTTTACTACCAAACGGTACAATGCACCTGTTGCAATATATTGCATTAAACGTTTAAGGGACCATCACACAAGTTAGAACGATGAGTTACTAAAAGAAATTCACGACACACCAGACTCCATTCAAAATTCTGCCATTTTTACGCATCCGGCTGTGCAACAAACGTAACGTAACTGTTTGAGGGTTGATAAATGAATTGGGACGTTTTAAAGGGTCTCTGGATAAATCCGGCAGTGAACCAAACTCCATTCAGATTTCCTCTGTTTTTTTTGTCTTGTTTGTTTGATTCTTTAACAGCGAACCTGTCCTGTGTCAGTAAATCATATAATACATTAAAGTAAACGGCCGATAAACTCGGCACACAATGAAGAAAGAAAATGTACCAGAAAGTGTTAAATTTAAAAAGAAACAACTGGTAGAGAACCAGACTCCATTCAGGATTCTGTCAGTTTTATTTAATTAACGTTATCCTGCTTTACAACTAACAACACTTATATTAAAACTATTGAGATCTGACATTTAAAGGCTCTTCTGATAAATTCGGCAAACAGTTACAAGTCTTAACTAAAGCACTTTCTTTATATAAATATATATATAATATAGAATAGAATAATGATAGAATAATAGGAAACACTTTGTAAGAGGTAATATAATTAAAACTATTACTCTGACATTGGTTTGGTGGTCACATTAATTACTGTATGCTAATGTGATTAATGTCCTTTGAGTTAAATAAAGACTTCTATTGTTACAGATGATCAAAGCGACGCTAAATTGGCTGTTTTTTGAATGGAGTTCGGCGTGTTGTTGTTTGTTTAAGTGCTCCAGAGGAGTGCGCAGCAGCGTTTTAACAAACCTTTACATTATTTTAGTCTTTAAGAGCAAACATTAACACAACTGTGTTATTCTACACCGACTGTGAGGAGTCAGTGTGCGGTCGGCTCCGGTTACCGGGCGGTTACCGGGCGGTTACCGGGCGGTTGCCGGGCGGTTGCCGGGCGGTGTTGGGGTTGTTTACCTCGGAGGAGGATGAGTCAGGGCGGACGCTGCTTTCTTTTTCCCGCCGCCGCTGCAGATCTTCTCTCCGTCACACGCGGTCCTCCCGGTTATTCAGCTCCCATGTTGACTCCTGACCGTTAAACGTTTCCCGCAGAGCTCCGGTCGCCGCGCTCCCGCTGAATTAAACTGTTTACTTTACAACTCTTCACCGATAACGATCCCGCACCGCCGCCATGTTGGATCTGTGCAAACTTCCGGTCCGCAGCTCACATGACTCCCTCATCAGCGGGTCACATGACGACGTCAGTCAATTAAACTAATCAGCGGATGTTTACAGGAAACAGCTGATCGATTACTCGAGTACAGTTTATAGGTACTCTGTATACAGGCGGTGCATTCTGGGAATACTTTATAAACATTTATATTATTTATAAATATGGAAAACAAAAAGGGTTATTTCTTATTTATCTGTTTTTATTATGAAACAAAAGTTTATTTAAAAGGTACATTTTCTTTGGTTTTCTGTTTTATTTTGAAACAATATCTGGGTTTTATTTCCGTTTTGTTTTTTAGTTTTCTATTTTTTATTTTCAAAATAAAAAAATTCCCAAATGTGGGAATGATGATAAACAAACAGGAAGTCTCTGTTCTGTTGTTTAAACCAAATGTACCGTAAGATTCTGAACGTGGGACCGATTCTGTAATAATAAGTTAAATTATACAGACTTCTCCTTTTTATTATTTTCATTAAAAATATAAAATAAAATGTGAAAAGTTTATCAGTTATTGTTCAGAAACATTAAATAAGTTTACAGTTTGTTTTCATCTGAACTGCTTTTTATTTTCAACATTTACAAACAAAGTAACTTTAACAAATAAACTAAACTATGAAATCTGTTTTTACATTTTAAATCCAAACTTCGATGATGTCTCCGTCCTCCATGTCGAGCTGAGCCGGCGTCTGGCGGTCGGTCACTTTGGAGCCGTCGAAGTGGAAGCGGACCTTCGTCTGAGCGACGGGAGGCAACCGGGACAGGTACTGGGAGAAGATGGAGCCCAGCGGCGCGTCCTGAAACACACACACACACACACACACACACACAAAAAAAACGTTATTACAGCTGCTGATGGAGTGAAGAGGAGGAGGAGGAGGAGGAGGAGGAGGAGCCACTGACTCTGTGGAGGGAGAACTCCTGAGAGGCGTCTCTGTCTTTGCTCTGCAGCCTCACTGTGATGTCATTCCTGCCGTCGCCGGTGGCGTCGCCTTTATCCTCCGCTGCCATGACGACACACTCTGCACAACATGAAGCAGAAAGAGGTTTCAGCTGATTGGATCAAATTCATTTAGATTTATTAAAGACCATGAAAACTGTTCCCAGCGTTCCCAGCGTTCCCAGTGTGTAGAGCTGCTCCTGTACCGAGCAGCAGCGCCCTCTGGTGGTGTAAGGACACAATCATATATGTATAATATATAAACATTAATATCTCTTCCCATCAGACTGATCACTAATATATTTGTAATCAAACATTTATTGATCAGAAGCCTGTTATTCTCACTGGTGTTACAGAGAAACGCTGACGGACCGGCGGCGAGGAGAACCAGCGTGTGACCGGGACTCACCGATGATGTCCGCGATGCCGAGGCCGAGCTCGCTGACCGTCGAGTGCGTCGGCAGCTCCTCTTCCTCCCTCAGCAGCAGGAGGCGAGGAGGAGGAACGGCGAGGATGACGGACAGCTGGGTCAGCACGTCGCTTAACGGCGTCGACTGGAAACACAGAAACAAGTAAAATGTAATATATTAGTTAAAGTAACTGTAATATATTAACATAATATATTAATATATTACTTATATTAATATATTATATTAATATAAGTAATATATTAGTTACTTTACAGAGTAACTAATATATTACAGTAATATATATTAGTGGGTGCTGCCTGTGCGTCTCCGTACCGACAGCACCGGGATCTTGTGGACGTCTGTCCGGCAGCGGATCTTGAGGGGGATCTCGCGGACCGAGGAGCTGTACGGCGAGTCCGGAAGTGCAGGGTTAGGGCTCGTGATGATGACGTCATCGTTGGGGTTCATGATGATGACGTCATCGTTGGGGCTAGTGATGATGACGTCATCGTTGGGGCTCGTGATGATGATTTCGTCGTCGTCCGGAGACGGGCGACCCGGGCGACCCGAGCGACCCGGGCGACGTCTGGCCCTCCGGTCCTGAGGTTCAGGAGACAGGAGCGAGTTCACCTCCCGGAGCTTCCTGTCGAACTCACTGCGGGGGAAGAAAAGTAATCAGATTACTTGTTCCGGCATCAAACGTCTGGTTTTGTCCAACGTGAGCGCCGACACCTGATCACCTGATCTTCTGTCGGAACCGTCGGGACTGTTTCTGAACCGGACTCTCTGGAGGGGGAGGAGACGGGCAGCCAATGGAGTCTCTGAAATAAAGGACAGAAAACATCTGTATTTATAGAGTGCAGTAAAACGTCCACATCTGGACCCGATCAATCAATAACACCAGTAAATACAGAGGTTATACAGAGGTTATATAGAAGGTTATACAGCTGTTATATAGAGGTTATACAGCTGTTATATAGAGGTTATACAGCTGTTATATAGAGGTTATACAGCTGTTATATAGAAGGTTATACAGAGGTTATATAGAGGTTATACAGCTGTTATATAGAAGGTTATACAGAGGTTGTACAGAGGTTATATAGAGGTTATATAGATGTTATATAGAGGTTATACAGAGGTTATACAGATGTTATACAGAGGTTATACAGAGGTTATACAGATGTTATACAGAGGTTATACAGAGGTTATACAGCTGTTATATAGAGGTTATACAGCTGTTATATAGAGGTTATACAGCTGTTATATAGAGGTTATACAGCTGTTATATAGAGGTTATACAGCTGTTATATAGAAGGTTATACAGAGGTTATACAGAGGTTATACAGCTGTTATATAGAAGGTTATACAGAGGTTGTACAGAGGTTATATAGAGGTTATATAGATGTTATATAGAGGTTATACAGATGTTATACAGATGTTATACAGAGGTTATACAGATGTTATACAGATGTTATACAGAGGTTATACAGATGTTATACAGAAGGTTATACAGCTGTTATACAGAGGTTATACAGATGTTATATAGAAGGTTATACAGAAGGTTATACAGATGTTATACAGATGTTCTATAGAAGGTTTCAGCAGTAATAAAGTGTTTTTGAGGTTTAGTTTCTCTTTAAATGAGCCTTCGATCTGTTAGAACACTTTCTGGGCGGAGGAGGATGTGAGTGAGATATAACCTGGGACTGATCTTTATTCTTACTCACGTTTCTGTTTTCTGCTCCACATGTCCGACCTCTTCCTCCTCAGAGTCGCTGAGGGTGGTGGTGGTGGTGGTGGTGGTGGTGGGGAGGACCACAGTGGGCCCTCGAGATGAAAACCGGGACCACAAACTCTCATCGTCTGCGCGTTCGTCTGTTCAGAGACAGAAACAATCGACCTTACAGCAGCAGAATCACAGCGGGTCGTGGGGGGGGGGATGGAAACTTTACCTGCGTTTTGTTTCTCCATGAACGTCGTCGCCATCGGCTTCAGCTGCAGACTGCTGCTCACCTGAAAACCAAACCGTGGGACTCAGACTGATGTAACGTGTATCATCCGACGCTGACACCGCTCCGGGGTTCACTCACCTTGCTCGAGTACACGGGAACCGGGACGATCGCAGACGGGTCGAGGATGCGTCTGCGTTTGGGTGGCGGTTTCACAGCCTGCAGCTCGCCGTCAGACACCTGAGGGACAGACGGACATCAGATCAACTTTAAATCTGTGAAATAATCTGTGAAATAATCTGTGGTGTGCAGAGATTTCTGGGAAATAAAAGATAAATAAATAAACTAACAACCAGAATGACTCACTGCAGTGTGCAGACCAATGTGTGAGGAGAAAAACAGTAAATTAATTAATTAAATGTGAATTTTATTATAAAGTTTGATTGGTGGGATTTCTATCCATCACGTTGTGTTTAATATAATATAAATATATAGAGTCCTATAATATATCCCCTCAGTGTTATTGACTGTCTGATCACTATATAGATATATCTATAGATATATAATGTGTGTGGGGTCACAGCAGGGAACAGATGTTGCAGTTAGTTGTCTGTTATTTCCTTCCTCACTTATTTTACGGATTTATTAAATTAACAACGTTAACTGTTAGCTAGTTAGCTACAGGCGTTAACTAACTTAATATGTGCTGTTCGTGTTTGTTTACGTTGTTAAATCGATACTTTAATAGATAACTATTGGGAACTGATAATGCCCCCCAGCGGTTAACTGCAGGCTTTTATTTTGAAAAGCTCCAGTTAGACGATGAAACAAACGGCGCTAACGTCCGATGCTAACGGACACTTTCCCGCCGTTGGAGCCGCTTTCTGCGCTCTGTGGCTTCGCGCCAACTTTTCGCTAGTAACGAGTTTAATCCCAACGACGTTACCGCCGTTATTTCAGACACCATTAATCGATTAAGTGCTTTTAAAAGGTAAAACCCGCCGATCCGTCACTCACCGCTTCAGCCATGACTGTTTCTGTTCGCGCGCCGCTGCTGCCTTCACGGACCGTGAGTCACGAGGGGACTTTCCAGGCCCGCTCCAGTGTTGCGTTCAGGTGCAACGGGACAAAATAAATTGAAACGAGCCACTAACGTCCACGTTTGTGAAGCTGAAAAATGACGTGAGAACTAAAACTGTACTTTGTGTATAATTTGTACAATTGTGGGGGGTGTTCATATAGAAGTTGTATACTTTATATGTAAATAAGATGTGATCCATAGTTAATAATTAAGATGTTTATACCAAATGATACAATATAATCGTCCGGCCCTCTAAGTTAGGGCACGAATGTTTTAGGGAATATTCATGAATCTTTAAATAAACTCAGATAATCTGTTAACATATATAACAACATACAAACAATCCAAATAAAGCGTTACTGCGGGAAAATAAATGATATATAATCAATATGTGACTTTAAAAAGGTCAATTTGTGTTTGTAAAGAGACAGAAAGTATCACATTTAATGAGTTTAATAGTTTCTGTTTTCTGAACCGCTGCTGGAGCTCCAGCTGTGAGCAGCTCCTACATTCCTCTGTGCAATGCATTCTGGGACAGTAGTGTACATCAACAGCCAGAAATCAGAGGGGCTTCGGTCTCCGTGCTGACTGTTCTCAGTATTTTATTTTGTCTGTGAACACACTACAGACTGCTACAGAAGATCCTGTAACTCATTATAATGAGAAACTTTCTCCAAGTCAATATTTGGATAAAGTTTCTCATTATAACGACGTACAGAATCTTCTTTACGTCACATTGGCAGAAACGAGCTTCCGTACAATGATCTATGGATTCATATGAGGCGTTCAGGTGTTTGTCGTAAATTTCAGTTCTTCTCTGCGTCCTGGTGGTGATTTTGGTCTCATTTAAACGATGTTAAAAAGTCTGTTCAGTGTTGTTGTTGTTCAAACTGTGAACCTTTCAGACAAACACGAGAGTCTGAATACACAAAACATTTCATACAAAAATGGAAATCGGTGCCGTTTCGAAACAGAAACAGAAGCTTCATTCTTTGTCCTCCGGTCACTTCTTCTTGTTCTCTTTGCAGGCGACCACGTATCGCTGAGCCACGTTGAGCGGGGGGGAGTAACCGTCGGCGTACGACGTGTCCTCGAACAGCACCGAGTAGTCGTCCTGAGGCTGCGGACAGACACACTGAGGTTAGTGTGAGGAAGGTCAGGAATAAGACAAACAGAACTTATGTGTGATAACTTAAAGCAGCAGAGTGTGAGATACCGTTACAATTACAGTTTGTGAATGTCGAAACTAAACCAACAAGTTTTGTTGTTTTTCTGCAGAAATAAAAATAAGAATCAGCCTCATCAGCCTCTGGGATCTTATTTTATTGTGAAAGCTCCGACAGGAAGCTCCCAGCTGCAGCAGGAGAACAGGAGCTGCACCGACTGACAAACTTTTCCAAGAACACGACTCTTAAACCGCCAGAACCGGAGAACAAAGACGCTGTAACGGCGTCAGCGGCGGCGTTCTCTGAGCCGGGACTCCAGACCGGTTGAAACTGTGGTTTCATTATTAATGTCATCACATCATTAATCCGTTCATTGTGGCCTCGTTACAGCCGAGAGTCTCACCCTGTGCGGGGGAGTGTGGATGAGGGCCCGGTAGAAGCAGGTGGTCTGAGGGTAGAGGGCCAGGACCAGCTGGTCCTTACTGAACAGAGCCTCGGGGTCGGTCTCTGGGTTCGCCTTCCACTGAGGGAGCGGGATGATCCGCCGCCGGCTCAGGGTGTGTCTCCTGATCGCACACAGACACACACACACACACACACACACACACACACACACACACACACACACACACACACACAAATGTTTGAGCGATCAGATCTGGAGCTGGTTGATGTGAAAACCCACCACTAGGGGGCGCCACACATGCAACAACAAACAACAATAACAAATAACAAACAGTGTGGATGATTAAATAAAGATTCAGAGATAATAAAGAAGCTTTAAAGGAAACTCACTCTTTGCCTTCTTCGTCGATGTCGTCCACTTCGTATCTGGAGGAGGAAGAAGAGGTCAGCTCCGTTTCATTGGCTCTGATTCCACATCCTCATATCTTTAATATATTCTCACTCACTTGTTGGTGGAGTGGTTGTAGCTGACCACCTCAGCCAGGATCCACTGCTCGTCCCCGTCCACGGCCTTCACCCTCGCCGCCACCTTGTCGCCCTGCTTGGCCACGTAGTCGCTGCTGGCCGGAGTGGCGCCGCACAGAGGAGGGGGGCTGAGGGGGGGAATACAGGTGGTCAGTGTCTCTGCAGCTGATTGGTTAGTTTAAAGTTTAATGGTGTGTGAGGAGTTAATATTCTGAGATAAACATGGAGACATAAAGTATTCTGAGGTCCCCACAGTGTGAAGTCTTCTTAGAGCCTGAACATCCAGTAACTGTGTGTGTGTGTGAGTGTGTGTGTGGTGTGTGTGTGTGTGTGTGTGTGTGTGTGTGTGTGTGTGTGTGTGTGTGCAGCAGCTACCTTTCCCCCGGTTTGCCGATCCACAGAGGAAGCGTCATGGCCGACTGCTGGAGGAGCGTCATCAGGACGCCTCGCCTCATCGTCTTCCTGGGAGGGTCGCTGTCGCTGTAAACGCCCGCCATCTTAGCAGCTGCAACGACAATGAACAGAATAATCACCAAAAATACAAATTAAAGTTAAATTAAAGACAGAAAGTTCCAGAAATCCTGCTGCAGATTTTACAGAGAACTAGTTGAACGAGTTTATTTCTTCTCACAACGTTGTTTTCTTCATCCACTTTAGAGATTTCGGGGTATTTTGCTTCCAAAACATGTAAAATTAAACAATAAAAAAATAAAACTTGGCCATAATAATAAAAAAATAATAATTTTATGTCACAATTATGAGATAGAAAGTTGAAATTGTGACATAATTATAACATCTTTGGATAATTTTCTTTTTTTTATAAATTATCAAGTTTTCATCTTATTTTTTATTCTACTGGAGGAAAAAACCTCCCAGAATAAACATTTAGCAGTTTATTTTACTACAATTTGTTTCTGTAGATTTCAACATAAGTCGACATTAGTTAATGCCTCATTTGCATATTTACATATAAAACTTACAAAATACAAAAAGTAATCCCAACTGTGGAAGATTCTTGCTGCTATTTGTTAGTTAGAATTTTAACCCCCCAACTTAGCAGCTACAGAAAGTACATTAATATTTATATATATCACTTAAATCCAAATGATTCTATATATTGTATATCTCTTCACACACACGTACCTATTCTCCTCTCCTCCAACAAAGATTTGATCTCTGCAATTTTATCGAGAGCGTGACGCAGAATGCTGAAAGGGGAAAAGAAGAGAAGTGAACAAATAAAGGAACATGAAGGAAATCTGGAAACTGACGCTTTGATTTGGTGCTAGAGGAAAAATAATTTCCATTTAAAGGATGAATATCTTGTCTTGAACTAAAAGGTGAAACTTCACTTGTCTCTGCTGAAGGATGATATTAAACTCTTTTATGGCCCTTTGGAACCATTTACATTGTTTATAATCATCAACAAAATGAGTCCAGATATTTAAATAAATGTGTGTGAATGAACATATGTTACCCAAACTGGGCTAAAGACACACGTCTCTTCTGCTATACTGATGCAAAGACGTCAGTGAAACAGATTTTGTCTCGTTTTCCCCGATCAGAGTACTTTTGTTTGAGAGCCTGAACTAACAGCAGCTGCTCACCTGCACTCTGCCTCAGCGTCTGCTTTGGCTGTGGTGTACAGTCCCCTCAGCTTGGTCCGGTAGTACGGCGACGCTGGAGGAGGCAGAGGAACGAGACAAACCATCAACAGCAGTCTAAACACTGTGTGTGTGTGTGTGTGTGTGTGTGTGTGTGTGTGTGTGTGTGTGTCTGAGAGTGTGTGTGTGTGTGTGTGTGTGTGTGTGTGTGTAGACGTGTGACTGACTTTTGTTTTCCGTCTGCATCCTCTCGTGTGTTTTCTGGATGTTGAGTAGATTGTGTTCACTGCGGGACCTCTCCTCCTGAACAGACACACAGCGTCATACATCTAAACACTACCTTTCAATCAGTGATCAATAACTACCAATCAGTGCCACTAACTTACCTGGGTCTGTTTGATGAGCTGATGGAGCTCTGTGAGCAGCTCTGCGATCTTGGTATCGGCTGACATGTTCTGTAGGTTCAAGGTCTGGGACATTGAGATAAAGTCTTGTTAGAGAAGCATTGATCCAAACCAAACCCCATTAAAATAACTGTCATTTAAAGGTAAGGAGCGAGGGTTCTGATGGAAGTAAGACTGGAAGCAGTTATTAAAACCAGAACAAACTGTATTATATATTTAACATATGGTACATTGAATGAAGGCCGAATAAAACAGTGTAACCTCTTTGTTTGGATTAAAGTCCTATTAGGAGTTTATGTCTCCTGAATAACGAGAGGTCTCTAAATTGACTGATTATTGAATGGAGTTTGGTGTAAACTTTTTTGAAAGCGAGACATTTTCTGGTTTTGAGTCTAAAGCGACAGCTGCAACATTTTGGGTAAAAACTTTGACCAAATACATAATAATAATAATAATAATAATAATTTGTTTCCAGTAAAGCTTGCTAACCTGCTAACGTTAGCTTTAATAACGGGGCGTTAGAGCTAACGAGGTGCTAGCTAATGTTAGCCGGGTTGTTAGCTCGTGCTCACACAATAAAAACATTCGCTGTGTAAATTTCCACTTTTATAACTCCACAATAACGAAATGCGTTATTGTTTCACCAGCACAGCCTCTCACGCTGCTTACCGTGGTAGTTTTTCTGTTTGTTTATTGTCGGCTTGCTAACTACACAGGTTAGCTTCCTCTTCTTCGCTGGTGTTATTAGGGGTAGTTGGTAAAGACAGCGGCACCAGCTGGTCGGAGGCCGGAACTGCAGGTTGCTGCTTAAAGTTCATTTATTGAGACTAAAGGTCTTTAAAGGTCTTATTATATATATAATAATAATAATAATAATAATATGAATACATCTGCACCATCACTGTGACATTTTGGTTCAGTTTTAATGTTTTAAGGTGAAAGCTCGTTAATATCAGTAAAATTAAAGAAACAAAAGAGATGAAAACCGTGAAAATAATAATGTTTATTACCTTTTTGAGATATAAGAGATACATTTTAATCATCAAGGCTAAGTTTTCATCTTATGTTTTTATTTTACTGACAGAAATTGACTTCCATATATTTCAGACTGGTGGAAAGAAAACACCAAAATACACATTAAGTTGTTTATTTTACTACAATTTGTCTGTTTGTTTCTGTAGATTTCACCAAAAGTCGACATTAGATAATACCTCATTTGCATATTTAAACACAACATTTCAGAAAACAAATAATAATAGTCTTAATGTCTTAATAAGTTTGGACCCAGTTCGCCTGTAGTGAGTTTTACAATAAACTGAACTTCAGCAGCTTTTACAGACACAAAACTTTCCTTATTTATTCCGATTTCTGAAGGTTTTTACTGAGAGCTTTGTTGTTTTTTGGCTCCTGACAGTATTTTCTAATATTTATGGAGCAATAAAGTCAGATTCCCTCAGTAAAAACCTTAAACTCTAATATGTCAACACAATGAACTCTGACTTTATCCAATGTTCAGATTTATATTCTGGAAATGTCTGAAAAACGTCACATTTTTAATTAGTTATTGCTTCATTTGCTTATTTAAACATAAAATGTCAGAACATTCAGCAGGTGAAAGACAAACAGAGAAATCTGAATCAAAGTCTATTTTTAATCTTAATGAAAGTGTATTTGTTTGTGTTCACCGGGAGGCCGACGGTACTTTGGCCTGTGTCAGATGTACAAACTGATAAACATCCAGTGAATGAATGATCGACGTCTGTTGTGGTTCGATGTCCTGAAAGTGTTTACGAGTGAATATCTTCGTTTAAAATGTGAGATAAACGACTGTAACAACCGAACCTTCAGATAAACTGAATGAGCTCATTAACGTTGGCGGTTAAAAGCTTTCAGACGAACACATTAATGCTCACACAGAACATTATTGATACAAACAGAACTCCATAAGAAAAACTGTCATTTTAAGGCACAGGGCAAAGCTTTTGATAGAGATAAGAAGGGAAACAGTTATTAAAACCAGAACAAATTGTGTTATAGATTTTAATATTCGGTACATTGGATGGTCGCTGAATATAATGTGGAACCTGTTTGTTTTGATTAATGTCCTATTAGGCTCCTGAATAAACAACAGTCTCTAAATTGACAGATTTTTGAATGAAGTTTGGTGTAAACTTTTCAGATGAACTGACAGCTACAACATTCTGGGTTTATATGGCGGCAAAAAGCATCATTGAACTTAAAACCTATAAAACCACCAGTGGAACTGAAGGTCCACTGTACTGTATGTATATTATATTATATTATATTATATCATATTATATTATATTATATTATATTATATTATATTATACATATTATATTATATTATATTATATTATATTATATTATATTATATTAATCATATTATATTATATTATATTATATCATATTATATTATATTATATTATATTATATCATATCATATTATATTATATTATATTATATTATATCATATTATATTATATTATATTATATCATATTATATTATATTATATTATATTATATTATATCATATTATATTATATTATATTATATTATATCATATTATATTATATTATATTATATCATATTATATTATATTATATTATATTATATTATATTATATTATATCATATTATATTATATTATATCATATTATATTATATTATATTATATTATATTATATCATATTATATTAAATTATATTATATTATATTATATTATATTATATTATATCATATTATATTATATTATATTATATTATGTCATATTATATTATATTGTATGATATTATAAAGATTAAACTGAAAACATCAACAGTGATCTGAACGGAACAACAGTCAATAAACATTAATGACCTTTTTAAAACGAGGTTAAAATCATGTGTGGTGACCATAAAGCTGATATCTTATCCTGGAACCTGGTTTACACCCAGTATGTACACACACACACACACACACACACACACACACACACACACACACACACACACACACACACACCTGAAACGTGTCCACACACACACGTTTGAGGTGTGTGTGTGGACACACCTGCACAGACAGAACTGAGGGCATGCGTTAACACACTCAGACAGGTCGGCTCATATTCCTGCAAATATTTACTGAGTCTCATCAGGAGGGTGACGAGAACAAAACCTCCGCTCTGACTGAAGGTTGATGAGTCAGTGTGACTGCAGCCTGTTTGTCTCTCAGCTCGTCCTGCACGTCGCACTCAGGAGGAAACTCTCACGAAGCTTCCAGATGTTTCCAGACTTTACAGGAGAGGTTCACAAACAGCTGTTAGTGAAACATTATGAGTCAATAATAAACAACTTTATAACTTCTGATCCAGTAGAGTTGTTGTTGTCCCCTCCAGTCAGAACCCAGGGTTTGTTCCTACAGTCCCATCTCTTATTGCAGTTTTCACTCTCTCACACAGTTTACTTACAATAAAAAACCTAAAAACAACAACAACAACAACAACAACAACAAGAAGTATATATATATAAAACGTACTGAGTACAGTCTGAGTGGATTTGAACATAAGAGTCGTTGTTAGTAAGAGCGGAGGGAAACTCCTGTTGTAATTACAGACCTTCACATCCTCCATCATCATCTACAGTGAATCACTGAGCTGGAAGGAACCAGTCAGAGCGGAACAACACTAAAATAAACCTTAAAGACAGTTTAACAGCTGGAACGTACGGTGGCTTTAGAGTGCAAAACAAAACAACAAAACAACAAAACACAACAATAAACAGGTTGTTGTGTTTTCCTTTTTGCCGTAGAAAGGTCTCCTGAAGTGTTTATTAGCTCTTCTGTTTGTTGTGTCTCATTGAATCAGTCGTACACACAGATCGGTTGTTGTTAAAGCTAACAGCTGCTAATGGCTAACCTGGCTGGAGCTCTTTGTATTGGTCGACCTGGAGCGTACCATTAGCTGAGTTAGCTCTGAGCCCTGATTAATAACATGTTAAATAAAAGAACGTCGTTGTGGCATAAAACAACCCTCAGAAGAACATTTTACTGGGTGGATGAAATCGTTTATGTTGGAGATTTAATTGACAGAAACTGATTTATATCTTTATAACTCCCAGTAAAGAGTTTGATGAAGTCCTGGCAGCCGTGGAGCTGAACCCTGGCCCGCCTTAGACAATCAGCACTCATATTCAGGACTCAGATACTGGAACAGGATCACAGCTCTGAAAGGAAACACGCTTTTATTAACGTCTGAGGAGGTCTTAAGAGAGAGAGAGAAATGCAGACAGGTTTAATTAATAATAAAATGATTGACAGAGAGCTGTGATACTGTGGCACTCTCAGGTAGATCTGCACTGGTACAGGAACCAGAGCTCTGTGATACCGAAGGGACGAGGATCTCTGGGTGCAGACTCTCACTGGATGTAGTTTAATGCTGCGACACCTAAAGCTTCAAATCTGCTCCTACAAACACTTTGTTATAAACTGATAGCAGAGAGTCCTGAGCTATAATCTCAAACATACAGGATGTTCACCTGCTGGGGGTGTTGTATGCTTTCCTTTTGTAAAATAATAAAATAATAAATAAATAAATAAATAAATAAATAAATAAATAAGCCTCAGTGTGTGTTGTTATATTGTTGCAGGTTTGTCGTTATAAAGAGCGACTGTACTTTCTCTCTCTGATAAGTTCAGTCCAAAGGTGGTTTTAAGAAATGTCACGAGGCGTTTGACAGCGATAACAACACACACACACACACACACACACACACACACACACACAGACACACACACACACACACACTGGATGAGGTCAGGGCTGTGTGAAGAGTGCAGCTGCTGATAAATAATGTGTGTCTGGTGCAGAGAAGGTCAGAGTCTGGAGGAGAGTCAACTGTAGGACGTTAGGTTCAAATATTAACTATCATACAGACTTAATCAGCTCCTGTTTCTAGTTCCTGATGCTCTACTCTTGTTCTATTAGACGATGTATATAAAGTCCAGGTGAAATAAGAAATCATTTTAACCCTTTAAGGTCACATCCTCAGTTATATTCTTCACTTATTTAACAATTTATGATCAAAACATTCACAAAAACTCAGTTTCTTTGCATTTTTATATTAAAATCCAATTATTGTGTTTTCCTGTCAAACTAAATGTGTCCTAACCTCAACCTCTATCAACTGTTGGGTGGTTTAATAATAAAACATATAATAAACTCTCCATGTGTAAAAACATTAGAGTAACTAAAGAATAATGTAATGGAGTAAAGGTACAGAGAGGTGTAGAGGAGTAGAGAGTGATGAACAGCAGTGCAGTGAATGTTAATGGACGTTAATGGAGCCAATAAACAGAGTTCCTCATTAAACATTAAACTCTTGTTATTCTGCAGCTTTAATGACTGATGCAACATTTCTGCAGCAGAGAGAGGGAGTGTCTGTCTGCCTGTCTGTCTGCCTGTCTGTCTGTCTGTGAGGAGAGGGAGGAGCTCAATGTCTCCGTTATAAATCCACTCAGCAACCTCTGGAAGCACATCTTGTGTTCCTCCTCAGAGAGAAGCGTTCAGAGGTCCATCTGGTTTTCTGCTGATTTTAGCGACTGTTGTTGTTGTTGTTGTTGTTGTTGTTGTTGTTGTTGTTTTCTGAAGGTTGACAAACTTTCTTTCTTGGAGCCAAACTCTCAGAAACAAACATGAGTCACGTCGACGTGAAGAACCTGAAGCCCACCAGCTTTGAAGACGAGTATTACGATCAGTATGAATATTATAATCTGACCGATAAATACGCAGGTGAGCTTTTTCTTTTCACTCCTAGTTTTCAGTTTTCCCTCCAAACTTGTGTTAAAATGTGTTTTTGTCCCAACAGAAGGTTCGGCCCGTAAAGGCAGGACCAAGAAGGAGGCCAGTGAGAACACCAACCGACCCAACCCGTCCGGACATGAGCGCAAGATTGTGGAGAAGCTCCAAAACAGCGAGAAGAAAGCCAAGGAATGAATACAGAGGTGAGCCTGTTTCTACTGAAATCAGTGTTTAATATCTGTTCATGTTGAATTGAACTGCTGCCGAATTAAAGAGTGAGTCTTATATTTGTGTTTGCTGAAGTTGAGGAATAATTTAATGAGCTCTGTACTTAAACAGAGTTAGTCAATTCTTTAATTAGCAATTTTCTTAATGACATCTGGCATATGGACCCTTGGAATGTTCAACATTCCCCTTACAGAATCTCTTCCTCCACAGCACTCCAGTGAGCGGTTGTGATTCAAAAGCTGATTCATTTTGTGCTCAAATAAGAGTTTGTTTTATGTCCATGTCGATTTAATTCCTGACCGAATTTAAGAGTTCCTCTTTTCTTTGTGACTCATTAAGTCTCTGAATCATTGTATGAACTTATTACTGTCACAACTTAGCAGAAACTTTAAATAGGCGGTTTTCTTAATGAGGTTTGGTGTATGAAACCTGAGACTGCAGGAGCGATGGGTAGGTAGGTTTTCAGATTGGTTCTTAGTTATGAAAAACAAACTCTCCAAGCTGAACTTTCCCTTTAAGGATGTTTTCCTTTCACTGCCCATCCTCCACAGCTCAGACTGCCACAAGTGGACTTCTGCTGCCAACATGTCCTGATAGAAGTGTTAACTCTTTGTTCACCGGGCGCTGAATTTAAAATGCTGTTAGATCAGTTCTCAGTAAAGCTACTGATTTATTTTAATGTGCTTTGTGCTTTTATGAATCAACTTAATACCTTAAATCGACCGATTTCCAAATGATGTTTTGAATGTGAAACTTTCAAGCTGTTGTTGTCTGTAGTTGTGTTTTAGAGGCAGGGCTGCAACATTAAAGAGCAAACACACAATAAAGAGTCTCTGAAGGTTTTGAAGTATTTTAATTTAGTTAAAAATATTAGATTGTTCCTACATGATGGTCTAAAAACTGAAGCTTTCTTCACACTAATGATTTGATCCAGAACTTCTTCCACAACTGAACCGTAACCAAAGTCTTGTTTTTCCAATCCAGGGTGACTCGGACGGCTTATCCTGGAAACCGACCACGGCCTCCTTGGCGACAGAACTAGACGTACAGACGGCGGCAGCGTGCTGAGCTCCGACGGGCGAGGTTTAACCTGGGCATGAAGAGGAGAGCCTGCAGATCCAGACGTTCCAGCTGCAGTTGGAGATCTTCATCGTCTCGCCGACTGGCAGCAGACTGCGGCTCCTCCGCCTGTAGGTGTTTGTAAAGCACTCACCTGTGGTGGGGTGTACCCGGGTCCCTGTTCAGACCCTGTTCAGACCCTGTTCAGACCCAGAGGGTGCACCTGTGATTGTGGTGGTGGCAGTTGGGTGATTTTGATGTGTTGAAATGTTTTCAATGGATTTTAAAAAGAAGTATTTTGACTATTAAAGCTTTTTCTTTTTAAATGACTCTGGAGTTGTTCTTCCTCTCTCATAATGTTTGTTTCCAGTGACTGGAGCTCAGTATTGATCAGTGAATCCTGGGTTCAGTCACTACTGAGATAACTGAGATCAACCAGCAGGGGGCAGCGACTGTTGGACATCCAGAGACTGAACTCACTGCAGTGTGGACAGAGTGGATCAGTTTGAACTATTTGCTCCGTCATGTTTTAGCCACAGAGTCAAACCCTCCAGTTTACACACAGGAAGTCTGAATGTTGCTGCAGCTTTAAATGAGGTCACATGAACAGTCTGCAGTTACATAACAAACATTAACAGCTCAGACTTCATTAAAGAGTGAATACGACTAAAATATGTTCACTATGGATGCGTCACTGAACCAAAGCCTGCAGATGGTTCCCAACCTCCCACTGGGGGTCGCAAGGTCTTCTTGAGTTTAAGGCGTAAAGAAAACTTAAGAAAGAAGAAAAGTGAATGTAAATTTGTTTAATAGAACAATGGTCAAGTGTCAGGGAGAAGAAAACACAAAAGGATTCTATAAAGTTTGTTTGTTTAAAAATATAAAAAATACAGAATACAGACAGAATTGTATAAAAAGTTCCCTAAACAGGAAATAATCTGCTCAGAATTCATCAGAATCTCTTATTTTACACAAACTTCCTGCAGTTACTGAGTTCACTGTTTGGATTCATTGTTCAGTTTTGAATATAAAATATAAAATATGTCACCAACATTACTCGACCCCTAATAAAGAGACACTGCAACAATAAACACAAATGGATCCTTTAATCACCATCAACACACACAGATGTGAATGTGACTATACAGACGTATCACTTTAATCTGGTAACCATAGCTGAGCTTAGCACGTAGCAGAGGAGCCATTCAGCGCCCCGTGTTCAGGGTGATGACCAGCATGAGGACGCTGTGGCTGCCGGGGAGCGTCGATCCAGCCAGCTCAGCTTTATCTGCCCCGAACGTCTGCAGCTCAACGTCCACGCAGCTCAGCTTCCACCTGTGCAGCAAAGCCTCAATGGACCAGTCGGCACTGAAACACACAGAGGAGGAAGAGGAGGAAGAGGAGGGTCAGAACAGAGCTCCAGTTACAGATAAAGATGTACTGTTTTCATACTGAACCTCCTCTCTTGGTACGTGGTCCAGAACTGAGCTCGGGGGTTTTTTCTGAGAAGAAAAGCAACCGTCACGAGGACGTCTTCAAAATCTGAAACAGGTTATAAAAGTTTTATATTCACTATATGGACAAAAGTATGTGGACACGTGTTACTATTACAGCGCATAAAGAAAGATATTAAGCTATAAAGTCGGGCCTGTAGAACATCTTATACTTCTAGAGCAGCTGGTTCATATTTGATGGATATTTTAAATGATATTAATAACTGCAGGAAGTTTGAGATCTGAGCAGATTATTTCCTGTTTAGGGAACTTTTTATACAATTCTCTGTCTGTATTCTGTATTTTTTATATTTCTGAACAATCATAGAGACTAAAATGCTTCTTTACTGACACAATCAGTGTTTTCTTGTTCCTGACACTTGGCCATTGTTCTATTACACAGTTTACATTTACTTTTCTTCACAGGACTGATGAAGAAGTGAACCAAAGCTGACTTATCCTTAAAATCAAGAAGGCCTCGCAACCACCCCATGAAGCTCTGCCGACCCCTAGTGGGGGTCTGGACCCTCAGGTTGGGAACCCCTGCTATAGAGGAACCAACCTTGTGGCTCGTAGAAGACGTCGGACCCCAGGATGATGTCCAGCTCTGGAAGCAGGACGAGATCCGGTGAGATTTCCCCCCAGGTGAGACCCAACACGACCACATCCTGCAGGCCGTTAGCTTCACAGCTGCGCCGGCAGTTCTCCAGACACAGCGGGGTCCTAGCGCTGTCCGACAGGATCACCTGAGCCCCGCACCTCGCAGCCACCACACCTGGCAGACTCACACCGGCCCCGAGCTGTGGACACAGACCTCAGGTTGTCCACCGACTCTCTGGAAGCTGAGAAATAAAAATGAAATGTGGCTCCTCTCACCTCCAGCACCGTCTTGTCTCTGAGCTCCTCTCTTTGTGTCCACAGATACTGGGCCAGCACCACCGCACAGGGCCACACATACATCCCATACTGTGGATCCAGAACCTGAGAACCACGGTTAAACTGCAGCTTAACTACAACACAACCAATGACAACTGATCTTAACTAGGATATTAAACATTTTAAGGATGTCATGCATGTTTTATCACAACTGTACGAGATATTCACAATATTACACAGTTGACTTATAGACAGTGCTCAGATCAGAATCCACATTATCCATCCTGCAGCACGTTGTTTGAGTTTCTGTGGCTCATCAGCCTCAATAAGGTCAATAAGTGGAGGGAATCCAGTTGAATTAGTCCAAATCTGATTTATTTGTGTACTGGATGTATGCCGAATTAAAGAGAGGAGTCTCAACTATCATATTAACATGTGTTTGTTGTTTTAGCATTTAAAAAACACTTATACACAATAATTGAACCACTTAAATGTACCGTAAGTGAGTGATTAAGGGGATACCAGTTATCTAAGTTCAGATTTGAATCAAACAAACACATTATTTGTGTACTGGATGTGTGCCGAATTAAAGACAGGACTCTATTGTGTCATATAAAGCCTCGGTAGTGTCTTCTAACGGCTGCATACCATTTACATACACAGAATTAACTTAAATTCACATCTTTTTCAGGCGTTAACGCCTCGATTCTGCCACAGCACAACGCGTTACCAAGACAACGGCTGACTCATATGACGAGTCGAAGTGAGATTCGTTGAGGGGATCATCAATAAGTGCTGTACCTGCAGTATAACTCCATAATCAGAGACTCAAACTCACCTCAGGTACGGAAACACAGAGAGACTCCTGCGGGGTTTTATTTCTGTCTGCAAACGTGAACTCTTTGTAAGCTATGTTCGGTGCTTCGGCTCCACCGGGGTCCATTGTTCATCATTACATCACCAGCTATCACTCTGACTCTTCATCTTCTGACTGCAAATTCATTTTAACTCTTTTCTTTGACGTTTATTTTGATAATATAACACTAGCGACCACGCTCATGTCTACTTCCGCATCCACCAAAATAACAAGAAGGACACTTTAACAGCCAATCACATCCACGTAAAAGCCTGGCGGGAACCAACGTTCTACAGTCCGTCCAATCAGCGGTTTTCCTTCTGCGAACGCTGTGGCCAATCAGCTTTCTGGCCCCGCAAAAGGGGGCGGGCGCTGTGTGACGTCGCGCTGCCAGAGCTAGCAAGCGTCTGTTGTTCGCTGTTTATGAAACCGGGCAGGTTTTAAAAGTGTTTCTATCGATCTATCGGTGCCGGTATCGATCTGACGACGCGGCTAACACACTACCAGATCTGCGCTCCTGTTGTCTAATCACATAAACCAGGTGATACCGGCTCTCAGTGCAGGCTAATGTGTCCCAGTAGCAGCGTTAGCCTCAGGTTAGCGTGCTAGCTAGCCGAGCAGCAGTAGCACGTTGTGTGAAGGCGGGAAGAGGAATGAACCACAAGAGCAAGAAGAGGATTAAAGAGGCGAAGCGGAGCGCCAGGCCCGAGCTGAAGGACTCCTTGGACTGGATAAAACACGGCTACCATGAGACCTTCGACCTGTCTCACCCCACCGTGAAGGTAACTGTCTCACCGCACCGCGGAGGGATCTGTCTCACCGCACCGCGGAGGGATCTGTCACTGGAGCTAACGCTAGCTAGCCGCCGCTCACAGGAGGAGTGCGGTTTGTCACGTAGACACCGAGCTGCTGTTATTATCGATTATTATCGATTATTATCAGTTATTAGGATCATTATCAGTTCATTTCACACCCTGATGATTCATCAAACCTTTACTGACTTTAGATTTTACTGATCATTAATCAAACTGATCTGTGGCCTCAAATTAAACATCAGTTTACATTTATGGATTTATATTTTTATCTAACTGTTTCCCAACCTTTATTCTTCACCAAGCCATTCTCTATCATTCAGTAAATTAACTCAACCAAGTGACATCTTTAATGGATGTTTCATATTTTATTCAGATAGAGAATAAACGTTTACATAAAGCAGAGGTTGTGATGAATGTTGAGCAGATTATTTCCTGTTCATGTTTTTATACAATGTATTGTATATTTTAATGAATCTTATGAGTTATATATACTTAATAAGCTTATTTATTAACATATTCCAGTGATGCTCGTCAGACAGTTTACCTAACAATAGGCCTATATGTACATTTAGTTTATTTAAATGCCTTAAAGTCAAGAAGGCCTCGTGACCCGCCCATGAAGCTGTCAGTGAACCACAATTAATGGTTCAAACATTATCAAGTGCTTTGATAAACTGTGAGACAACAGTGTTATAATACAGCACAGTTACCCTGGTCTACAAAGCTTCACTAACGTCACTATCCTGGTCTTAATAAACTGAAGGAAAAGCCTGAAACCATTGTGAGTCTGTCCTTTAAGAGGAGCTGAAACCGGGTCTGCATCCTGGAGGCTCGCTGTCAGATCTTTCCTGCCGTCAGCAGGAGGGCAGGAGACAAAATGGAGACCTGCAGAGGTATTTAGAAGCTGTAATATCAGGACGAGCTCTCATTGTGTGTGTGTGTGTGTGTGTGTGTGTGTGTGTGTGTGTGTGTGTGTGTCCTCAGGTTATGAAAGAGGTTGTTTAAATCAGTTCCTCTCGGCGCTGACCTGTATTCAAATACTCACACCCTTCGTGTCCTGATATCAGCTCCAGTTTGTTCTTCTCACAGAAAGATAAAGAAGTTGTGATTAAAAACACCTGCAGCTGTTCTTCAGCCTCAACCAGAGACACAAAGATAAAGAGTTATCTCAGAGTTCATCTTTAGTTGTCAGCTGTTAAAGTAAACCAACTGTTTTGATCATCAATTCATTTCTTAAGAAAAAAACTATTCTTAAACAACAAAGTCAATTTTGACTTCATCTTCTCGAATGTGTCTTCAGTCCTCTGTGACGGCGGTTCTCCAACCTACAGTGCTCTACTGTTTACCAATAGCTTAAGAAACACTGTTATATGACAGTAAACTTTAGGTTGTGGACAAAATAAGACATTTTGAGGGCGTTAATAATCGTTAGCTGCGTCTGTAATTATCACAGAAGGGTCTCTCCCTCTCCTCTTGGGCCGGACACAGGAAGTCAGTAGATGGGACACGTTTGACCTTCTCTCACTCTTTCATTCCAGATCTCTGGATTAGGGTGTTCCTTTAGCAGCTAAACATTTAGATAAATAGGACGGCACGCTGTGTAACACCATACTGCAATGTGCTGTGTTACAGGACAACGTTGAGCGTGTGGACACCCTCCACCTCAGTCCTGAAGAGTTCATCCGGCGCTTCGAGCGGCCTTACAAGCCGGTCGTCCTGCTCAACTGCCAGGAGAGCTGGCCCGCTCGGGAGAAATGGACCATGGAGCGCCTCAAACGCAAATACCGCAACCAGAAATTCAAGTGCGGGGAGGACAACGACGGGTACTCGGTGAAGATGAAGATGAAGTACTACATCGAGTATCTGGAGACCACCAGGGACGACAGCCCGCTCTACATCTTCGACAGCAGCTACGGTGAACACGCCAAACGCCGGAAGCTGCTGGAGGACTACCAGGTGCCGCTCTTCTTCAGGGACGACCTGTTCCAGTTCGCAGGAGAGAAGCGCAGGCCGCCGTACAGGTTCGATCACTTTCATTCACCTCCAGCTGATGAGAGAGGCGACTATCACGTGACGTTGAAGCTCACCTTGGTTTATCGTCTCCTCACAGGTGGTTCGTGATGGGCCCGTCCCGCTCCGGCACCGGCATCCACATCGACCCGCTGGGCACCAGCGCCTGGAACGCCCTGGTTCAAGGGCACAAGAGGTGGTGTCTGTTCCCCACTAACACACCCCGCGAGCTGATCAAGGTGACCAGAGAGGACGGGGGCAACCAGCAGGACGAGGCTATCACCTGGTTCAACGTGGTTTATCCACGAACGCAGCAGCCCAACTGGCCTCCAGAGTTCACGCCGCTGGAGATCCTCCAGAAACCCGGGGAGACCGTCTTTGTGCCTGGTCAGTGAAGGAACATCATCCTCATATTCCTGCGTCAGGTTTCTAACCGTTTATTGTTCATCTGAGGTTGTTTCATCTTTATAACTCAAGTCTGGACATACTGTGTATTTTATTTAATAATATATTTAATATTCTGTATGTGCCAGTTCAGTGCGACTCAGAGAGCCGGTAATTAAACACCAGTCGCCCTGCAGTGTCGTCAGCTGTGTATGAACCTCTGTGACCTACATTCAGCTAATGCTAACAGAGCTGATGATGATGAAGATGGATTAAACTCAGGATTTAGACCTCACCTGTCTGACTGTAGATTAAACCACAGACACAACAAGAAGCTGAGAACCTCACAGGAGGATCTGACTGTTTGTTGGGTTGTGTATTAGCTTCCCAGTTTGTTTACAACATAATGTGACCACAGGGACGACGCAGTAGCTTTAAACATCATATCAGACACACACACACACACACACACACACACACACACACACACACACACACTCAAGCAACAGTCTTTTGTGCTTCTGTCTGATGCTAATGGTAACTAGCTGTGTGTCCGCAGGCGGGTGGTGGCACGTAGTCCTCAACCTGGACACGACAATCGCCGTCACTCAGAACTTTGCCAGCACAACCAACTTCCCCATCGTGTGGCACAAAACAGTCCGCGGGCGACCCAAACTCTCCAGGAAGTGGTACCGGTAAGGACTCAACGCCGCCGCCACGTCACAAACACACCGAGCAGATGGTGACGGTTAGATTGCTGCAGCACACACCAGAGATAAGACTCATCCCAGGACATCTGCAAGTCCCTCAAACGCAAAACCAAAGCTGAATATCGAAGCTTTAAAAAGTGAAAAGGACTCAGTCACTTTTTTAATCATGTGATTAGAGATCCACTTTAACTGGATTTGTTTTAAAAAGCTTTACATTGAGCTACATTTTTCTGAGTGTTACTTTTAGACTAAATTTAACCAGATTCACCAGGAACATCCCAATTCAAATAATATATATATTACATAATGCATAAATGTAATCATTTAGGAGCTGTTTTTCCTTCATGTCTGTCTCTGGGTAAACCATGTATGAGCAGGTGTCAGCGCACTCAGAAGTAATCAGAAAGATATAATAGATATTATTGATTAGTTGAGGTGTGTGTGTTTGCGTGTCGACGGTCTGAGCGACCCCTGACGGGATTGTTGTCCTCCCGGTGGTTTCAGTGTCTTGAAGCAGGAGAGACCTGATCTGGCAGCTCTGGCAGACAAAGTGGACCTTCAGGAGTCGACGGGCATCGCGTCCGACAGCTCCAGTGACTCCTCGTCATCCTCCTCCAGCTCCTCCGACTCTGACTCCGACGTACGTGGTCAAACACACACACACACACACACACACACACACACACACTCTTGGTCCACTGATGTAGACCGCCGATTGTTCCCTCACGTTCAGACCTTGTGCTCAACCAGCTGATGGAAACTTTCCCTTTCTAACATCAGCCTGGTTTACCTTCACATGCAGCACAGTTTGTCATCAAAACACTGCTCCTTTTCTGCTCATCCACCGCTCTTGTGTTAATGTTTAGAGTTGATTCATGGTGATGAGCAGCAGGTGGCGCCAGTTCTCCAGTCAGTGGTATTAAACCAGTGCAGAAGAAGAGCACACACTGAGACGTCGTCTTTAAAAGAGCTGCAGTCAGAGCTCAGACAAACAAACATTAACTGTTAACTTCTCAGTTAGTTTAATGCACTTAAAGGTGTAAAGTAATAATACATATTATATATTTACTATCAGCTGTAAGACAACTTAAAGTCTTTCAGCAGGTAAAGGTTTAGAAGTTAACATAAAGGGACATAAAGTCTGCCCTCTGTCTCTCTCTCTGTGTAACCTCGGGCTCAGTGTCAGTCTGGAGTTAGCGCTGCCAACAGGTGCCTCCATCTGTAACATAATCCACATGTAACATGTCGTGACACACATCAGTCGGTCACAGCGTCTGTACACGTTGTTCCCTGCAGGCAGAGTCGGGCTCCGAGGGCGACGCCATGTCCCACCGCAGGAAGAAGAGACGGACCTGCGCCATGACGGCCAACGGGGACACCAGCAGCCAGGACGACTGCGTCAGCAAGGAGAGGAGCTCGTCGCGGTGACCTCCAGCCTCCGTCCAGCCTCCGGAGGCGACTCCTCCGCTCGCCAACGCAGACACGACCGCTTCTAGTCTAGTTTAGGTAAAGGGACGAGATGGCGGCGGCCGGCGAGGAGCGAGTCGTAGTTTGAGGAGGAGGATCTGCGGGGAGGGGGGGGGCGGGGGGGGTCTGCTGGAGACCTGCCACCACTGTGCTTTTCAACACCAATCAGTATGTTTGTCTGTAGCTTCTGTAGTGTGAGGACATTATAACCAGTAACGGACTGGTGAGGGGGATTCTGGGAGCCCGGTGTGGGCTTTGAAAGTCTCTGAGCTGCTTTCTGATGTGAGTTTGTGGAGAAATGGGAGTATTTGTAAAGGTTGTGACACATTCAGCCACCAGAGTTTGGCCTTGTGCAGGTTTCTGTGCCGTCACATCTGGATCAGGATCACTCGGACCTTCTAGTTTCACAGCTGGAAACCGGTTCATAAAGACCAGATCGCACCAGACAGACACAGAATGACGGTTAACAACTCACGTCTCAGTCTCTCTGTTCTCCGTACCCCCCCCCCACTGTTCAGCTAACTGTTAGCTCGGCTGTTCACACATGTAGCGCAAATATTTTAACCAAATTTACACCAAATCAGCAAAAGAAAATGCAAATGAAACCACGTTTCCATCCACTGCTGCTGGTAAACAGTAGGTGGCGCTCATTCTCCAGTCGGTGCCATTAAACGATCCCGGAGGACACGAAGAGACGAGCTCAAACTAAAAAAGGATGCTCTCGGGCGTTGGCTCGGACGCTAACGGGGCAGTAAGTTCCCACAGTTCATCTGTACAGCGCGACAAATATATTTATTAAAATTTTAAGTGTGAGTTTTATGCCCTCAAGAAGATGGAACAAAAGTCAGTCCCGTGATACAGTGAACTAAAATAACACTAAAAGATATTTTTCTGCATTATTACTATTTTTATATCTTCGCACATCAGCCAATACCGATCAATCAGTCTTAAAGACTTCCTTTAATATTAAATATCTAACTGTTTTTATGCACAAGGAGTTAATGGACACATTTGTGTATATTTTCAGGGCCGATGTGACGTTTAAATAATAATTTTCATCAGTAGCAGATGTTTCTTTGTTATTTATTCTAGGGCAGCACGATGTGGTAGAAACATAATTCTGTCATATTATTGACGATTATGTGACAACGATCGTCTTTGGATCAAAACCTTCAACCCAAAGAATTAAAATCATGATGATGTGAAATGTTTTCTTAAACCTGGATGAAGATTTGTAGTCCAGAGTCTCTGCGGTTCATTATAAGATGATTATTAGATCAATTTATTCCCCTTCTGTGCAACGAGGATAAGCCTCTCCGTCTTGGAGGAGGTAAATATCGGTCTGATGGATGTAAAACTAGAGGTCCGAGTCTTCTGTCCCCAAAACCAGATGTTGCTCTGCATCCGACTCTGGTGGCGTTTCTTTAAAATGGCGTCCTCTGTCTGCCTCTGTGATTGCTGGAGCTGAAGGCGTCACTTTATTCACACACACACACACACACACACACACACACACACACACACACACACACACGTGAAAGCATTTAACTGTGCCTGCTGTCGGTGTGTTAGACTGTATGAAATGCAGTCTTTGTGAGGAAGAGGAGGAGGAAGATGCCATATGAGTGCAGACTGCCTGAGGTGCACGAGGCTTTCTAAATGTTGTGAGGGTAGAGGGTACTACATTTACCAGAATGCACTGCTGCAGTGTTCTGGATCTGGTTAATTAGCAGCTGTGAGTTACTAATCGGTGATTAACTGTAGACGAGGCTGCTTGTTCACGTAAATACAGACGTTTTTATTATTGATTAACCTGGCAATTAGAGCTGAAACCTTATTGATTAGTTGATCGATAGAAAATTAATCAGCAGCAGTTTTATTATTGAGAACTTTTAAAGCAAATCTGTCCAGCTTTTGTTTGTTTTTACTTTGTGTGTCTTTGATCTGAATCAGTTTGGGATTGTTTGTCGAACAAAACGAGACGTTTAAAGACGACATGGCGACTTTTTACTGTTATTGATATTTTACACTGAAGTTCCTGTGCTTTTATCGCCGGAGCTCAGATAATTAAAAACATTATAATCTGGTAAAATATCTACGTACCGTAAAAACTTCTAATAAATCAACAAGCTGGCGACCTAGACCAGGCCTCTAATTGAGACCCCAGGCTAGTAAAGGAGACCTGCCTTTTGTTTTTGAAGTTTTACATTTTTTAGGAGTAAAATAAACACAAACAATTATATAAATGAAACCACTGGCTACGATAAGCCGATACTGCGCCAACTGACGCCTGGTCTGAGGAATAATCGGTCGTAACGCGGCGTTCCAAGCCTAACCTAAAATTGATACATTTATAAATCACTGTATTTTGACGTTTGATGGATTTTTTCGACGTGTCTTTTTTTATTTGATCCTCCGTAACATTAACGCAAATTACAAATGATTAAATATAAGTGAATTAACGAAGATACCGTGTTCTCGATTTAATGAATCTTTACGTTTTTGAAACAAAAGAAATTGTATTTTCAAAATTTTTCATAAAACAAAAAACGGTTTAATGTTTTCAAGCACCCGAATAATGAAAATTAAATATACAATTTTTTGTTTTTGTTTCTGAAACTCAAGGTTTTTCTAAAGAAGTCTGAACAACTAAGCCGACCCGGCTTAGTAAAGATCAGTTGGTGCATCCCTGAACACAGATCATAATGTTACAGACAATTTCTTTGATTATTTGTTAACATCATAAAAACAGTAAAAAATGCATCATAACTTCAGGTGTGTTGTTCTGTCCGACCAGCAGCTCAACGAGATTCACTTTACTGATATAAAGCAGAAAATCCTCACGTTAGCGAAGCTGTAAAATCAGATATTTGGTGTTTTTGCTCAACTTAAATAATGAATCTGTTCTCTAAATAGTTGCTGATGAAACTTCTGCTCGTCTTTAATAAAAAAGCGGATCCTTTGAAATCAGCTGTAAAGTGCTGCAGGCGACATAAAGAGCTGTAAATGTATGCGGTCGATGTGAATCTGTTTGCTTTAGACTAAAGTGCCTATAAAGACGTGTGCGTAGAGCGACTGACTGTCGGAGGTCGTGTTTCTGGGTTCGTATCTGTCGTTAAAGGCACTGTGTTGGTCTGTGAGGTCGGTCACATGGTGCCTTCCGTCTGCCTTTCGCCGAAGGTCTCGTCTCGTTTCACCTGAACCGATCCGAGGTGAGCTTTAGGACGGAGGTCGATCTCCAGGTTAAATGTTGAAGTGAATCAGAGGGAGAGTCTTCACACGCAGACTGATCCTGATGTGATGAATTTTGTTTTCTTGGTCAATAAAAAACTTTTCTATGACTCAAAACATGTTTGTCTGATCAATTAATTTCCAATATTGTGTTTATTGTAACAAGGTAAACAAACATCTGTCAGCTGCTTCTAGAGCTGCAACTAATTATTGTTTATTTATTATTAGTCATTTGTTCGCTTAGCTTTAATACAGCTATCATTATTAATTATGATTATTTATTCCTAATTAATTAATATGTATTTATTTATTAATATATTTATTATTTTTTTAATTGTTCATTTTATTTAAATATACATTTAAAAAAAATATTTAATATATTTTTACTTGAATGGAGTTTGTCTTTTTCTAAAATAGAATATAAAATAAATAAATATAATTTGGAAAGTAAAGGTAACTTTTGGATGTAGACTGTATGACAACAATCTGTTGAGGGAGTTTGTGGAGCTGCTTTGTATTTTACACACAGCAACTTTGTTCTATAAAACCTTTAACAGGTTACAAGAAGATATCTGAGGATCAGAAAGATGTGATTCCAGTGATTTTTACTCTTTATTTCACTCCTGAACGCCACAGGACCAACACTTTATGTTGGAAACTGAAACTGGAACATTTTTACATGCAGTTTGGGAAAAAGTACTAGAATATGTTGGGAAGTGGTTCAGTTGGATGGTATCTGTCACAGAGACTGTTGTCTCTGAATGTTTAATGTTTAACTGGGGGACCAAACAGAAATACTCCATATATCAAAATATGAAGGATGAAGGTTAGGGTGTTCGAATGATCCTCAGATTATGGAAAAGTAAAAATCCTCTTAATATTATATCTATAGATATATATATGACATACATATAACATTTATCCTTGTTTTTTGTTACTTTTTTAAATATTAATTTAATATGTATTATTTAATATTTATTTACTGAATAATATTTATATTTTTTAAAATTCTATTTCTTCAATTTATAACTTTTCAGATCTAAATGTGACATCTTCAGTTGTTTGCTTGTTTTTATATATACAGACAGAAAAACTAAATCCTCACATTTGAGAAGTTGAAACCAGAAAATATTTTTTTTCACAATTTCTGCTTGAAAAATACATAAAATGATCAATTATCAAAATAATCATTAAACAATTCAATTTATTAGAAAATATAATAATTTTCAAGCAATCTTTGCTTAAAAAAAAGTGTTTGTGCAGCAAAAACTGTAATATAGAGTTTTACACTTTTAGAGAACAGAAGTAGAATAACGCTAAAAACTAACTCTAACTAGCCAGTTAATTAACCATTAAGGTAATGTCCCTTAAACTAACCCAACACTAGTTTAAAAACCTCATTTTATTCTGACATCTAACCTGGCATCCTGTCCGAGCTTTTATTGTGACACAGCCCCGGTAGCGCGGTGTGCAGTGGGCTTTAGGTCGCGGACGGAGGCTCGAGGAGCTCAGTGTGTGTGTGTCCATCAGTCCGCAGTCACACACTCTGAACACTTTAACTTTCCTCCCGTTAATCCTCCGTTATGGATCTGGACCCGACCATCATCCTTCCCGCCATCCTCTTCACCGTCGTTGCCATTTACTTCGCTTCATCGCTGCTGAGCAAGAAGCCCAACCCCTCCTCCTCCTCAGCCGGGAACAAGAAGCCCAAAGTCGGCTACGGAGATGACATCCCTCCGTCCAGAGCTCTGGGAGTACCGCCCCGACCCGCGCCCGAAGCCTCCCCGCGGACAGAGCCTCCTGCGCCGGCTGTGGAGAACATCGGAGCCGCTGAGAAGATCCAGGTAAAGGTAAGATCGATTGATTCTGTTTTTAATCGATTTATTGGTGTATAAAATATATAATAATGACATGGATACAGATTTATTTACGTTAACAGAAACTTTTATTGTTTTTGTGCTTTCCCAGAAAAAACAAAAAATTCTGTAATTTTTGATATAAGAAATAGTAAATAGTAAAATAGAAAAAAGGGAGATTGACATTAAAAATGACTTTGAATTCATTATTTTTGATGACAAGCAGTCAAAACAATTAAAATATATTTAATTTATAGCAACATTTTAAAGTTATTCTGATTGAAACCAGTTAATCGATCAATAAACCGACAGTTCTCCTACAGACATGTATCAATACATTTATACAAACACTCTGCTTGGAACAACAATGTGTCTGATATTAAAAAAAATAATAATTTCCACATTAAAACCCTTAAAAAGGCTTCCAGCCCTTCTACCTCATTAAAAGGTAAACCATTAAATTAAATTAAAGACAAAAGAAAGTTTGATGTTTGGTATTTATATTTTTTTACTCCATAAAGACCAAAATAAGAAATAACTTATTTAATCCAGAAAGACACTTTTGTGCCAAAGATGCTCAATAAAGGATTTATAACAGATAATAATAGTAAAATATAAACAAATAACCCCCAAAAGTACAATATGTTTTTTATTTATAGAGACGTTTAAGAGGTATTCTGACTGATCAGTTAACCGATCAATATGTTCACAAATTAAAGTCAGCAGAAAGTTAAGATTCGATCTAACAGTGTTATTGGTATTTTTACATCTGAAACAATCAATCAATTAATCAGTTTATTAAACATCCTTCTGTCTTTCTTCTTGAAGATTTTGCTGTTTTTCTGATGTTTGACAGATTAAACACAATCAGTTAATTAAAAAATGTAATAATTTGATTAATCGCTAATGAAAACAGTTGTTTTTTGCAGCCAGATATGATCAATATCAGATTGTTTGAGTTTATTAATTTGAACTTTTATTGTCATGATACAATGAAACATAGTTTTGTTATTTATAATAATTAAAAGTGAATAATTGATTGACGATTCACTGTAAACATACTCTACTCACAGACAGTAAAATTATAAATACATTTATTGATAAATATTTATAAACAGTCTGAACAATAATGTGTCTGATAAATGAAAGTTTATTTCCACAGTGTCTCTGCTCTCTGCTGGGTCACTGGATCAATATTTATATTGATAATCAAAGACAATGAGAGCTGATTAATCAATCATTAGTCATTAAAGTGTAACGACACCTTCAGTCCTGTTAGCTCCTCCCTCTCAGTGACATCACAGACCTGCAGAGGACGTAGGGGGCGTGGCCTCGACAGCAACCAGAGTGATTGACAGACTGACCACAACAGTGTAGCAGGAACAGCGAGCTGGTAGTCAGAGCTAACAGAGCTAACAGTGCTACCCAGACAGATTTTACTGTCACTAGAAGCACATTCACGCTGTTAGTAAAAGTTTCTGTGAGCTACCTGTTTGTAGCTAAGCTAGCGGCTCCGGTATGTGTGTGTGTCAGTGTGGGATCGAGGTAAAGATCGCAGTCCGGTGCTTCTACAGCGTCTAAAGTCGGAACCGCTGCGTCCCAACATAAACATACTGAGTAGAGGGTTAGCAACAGCTAGCATAACCTCCTGTGAATGATGCGTCTCCATCAGTAAACATTTGGAAATGAAGCCGCGGTTTCACAGACTCAGAGTTTGTTCAGATCTGTTTGTTTAAATGTAATAAAATATATAATTTCTGTAAAATTGAGCAAATTAATGAAATTTTTGGAGAAATTAGAATTGTTAAATGTTAATAACAATTAATGTTGGTTGATGATTATTTGTCTGTCGGTGTTTTGATCAGTGAATCGTTTTCTGGCTGTGAGATTTTTTCTTTGTGTTGGTCGAACTAAACCAGATCTTTTACATTTTCTGACATTTTTTAAAGTTAATCAAGAAAATATTTGCTAGTTGAAGCCACGGAGGTTTTATTATTTATTAACTGATTCAGCAGCACAATTTAAAGTGAAGGCATTATTTAGTTTTAATTTATTTTATTTCTTCTTTTTAAAGAAATGGTTTTAAAATATTTATTTCTTTACCTTTATTGTTCATTTTTTATTTCTTTTTTATTTATATGTATTTATTTATTTTTCATTTTTTATTTACTTTTGTTTATTTCAGTGTGATTTATTTATTTACTTCTTTTTTATTTCTTTTATTTATGTTTTAGGGCTGAAACAGATTATTATTCTTTATTGACAGGATGATTTTATTCTTTTATTGATCAGATATCTGTAGATTTTTGTCACAGGCAATTAGCAATTAAAGGCCTTCTGTGTGGACTAACTGAGTATTGATTGTTACTACGTCTGATAATCAATGAAGGAAGTTCCTCTCGTTGAATCTTTGGGCCTCTCTGTTCAGTGTTTGGCTTTGTGACGCCCAAACATGGTCACCGCCACCGATTCCTCTGACTGCCAGCTGCTGATTTGCCTGTGCATACGCTGACCGACGGTATTGAGCATTTGAATGTTTCTGCAGTTTCATGCAAATCAGCAGCACAGAAACTCTTCCTGCTCGCCGTGCTCGCCGTCCGGCACGTCGACGCCCGTTTGTTGGATCTTTCTGACCTTTTCCACCTGCACAGCAGAGCCTTTAAAAAGCCAGAGGAATGTGCCCACGGCGGCTGGAACATGCAACGGGCCGGGCATCTATATTTGGTGGCCAGCATGAACCCTATATTTACACCCATGTACTGTATGTACGTGGTGTCACATGTCTGAAATGGACTCTGCGAGGTTGAGGAGGAGGCGGGTGTGACGCCTTCACGTGGCTTCATGTGATGTTTGGTGACTGGGAAGTGTGTTGTGTGTTATTTCATCCTGCTGATTCAGGAACAACATTTACACCTCATACTGCTCGCACACTCACATCTACGGCGCTGATGTTATTGACTCCACATACGCAGTTATTATCCCAGCTGTTTCATTTACTGTAATAAATACGTTAATTTACCGTCATCAAAGGGTTGTCGCAGTGATTCAGGGTCGCTCAACAGTATTATCGCCATTTCTGTTACATCGGGTGCATCGGGACAGTGCTCAGTCTCCATTCTGGGTCTGTTAACTAAAAAAAGTCTCCAGTTCGTTAACACATTCAGCTGAAAGTTAACAGGGTCCCTCCTTAAACTGAAGCACTGGCGAGCTGCAGGTTGCAAACACCCACAGCTGTGGTGAACTGGGATAATTAGCGGACCAGTCTGTGCTGCGTTTCCAGTCAGAATGAAACCACAGCGAATGGGACTCAGGTGCACGACTCGAGACCAGGAGTCCGGTCAAATTGTCACAAAAAGTAGTTCCTGTTTCCTTTCTGAAACCATTCTCCTTTAACCTGTGAGGAGAGAATTCGACTGCGGATGCTGATGATGTGTCAGTTGATGCACTTTCCATCAGTCTGACAGAGAAACCAAACCAACGTTAAACTGCTCCTCGTCACCGGGACCAAAGTATAAGAGGATTGATGCAACACAGACCTTTTCTCTTATAACACAGGAAGTCTCTGACCGCTGCACTGCTGCATATGCTAACTGTACTAGCTGCTGTTAGCTAGTTAGCAGTCCTGTTAGCTGTCTGTACCCGGACTGGGAGTACTGGACTGGTTTGTAGCCTGATTAAATAAACATGTAATGACTAGTCAGCTATCGGCTTTATCTAACGACTACTAGTCGACTAGGAAACTCTTTAGTCTGGACCAGCCCTAGTGAGTTGGCTTACCGAGTCCGCAGGTTGAACCGTTACTGGGTCCCACACCAGCGTTGGTCTCAGCTCCCGTGAGCGGCGAGCTCTGTCCTGATACTTCTGTTCAGTGTTTTGTTTTGGTTGTTGGTTGATGGATCCATGAAAATAACAGAAGGGATGGCTGCTTAAAGTAAGGTGGGATGCTGTTGCGTTCACCTGAACTTCATCATGTCCTCATAACCCCAGTGACGCCACCTCATCACCACGAAGCTTAACCACACCCAATGAAAACCAGTCCACAAAGTACAGAGAAAGGAGAAGAAAAAGAACAATACTCTCAGTCTTAATACTTGCCACCAATAGCGATATTTCCTTATTGCGGTTATATGCCATAGAGGCTCCAGTGAAATACCAAACCGCATCTTACTTAAAAGTCGTGGCTCAAACAGGAAAAATGTGACCGGACGAGCCCCCAATCAATAATATCACTATCACTCTCCACCAGACTCCAGAGACAAAAACAGTAATTTTACCTCCATATCATCGTAACCTCATTCAAAGTGGACAGAAACAGAATAAAACTCATTAAAAGCGTCTCTGTTAGTGTTTCCAATAATCACCAACTCTGGTTTGGTGGAAATAAATCCTTAATTCACCGACGTAGATGATAAAAACAGCAGTTTCAGTCGGAGCAGACCGGCTATGGAAACAAACCACAGAGAGGCTGCGATACAACACAGGCAGAGGGAGAGAGACACCATGTGACTCTGTATATAGAGAATATAATGTTAGCTGATATATTAATGTTATAAATCTCATTTATAACCTTTTAAACGACTAAAACTGACTCTGAGTAAAATATATAATATATAATAACAGGCAGAAATTACGTCAGTGAATCCTCCGTAAACGCCGCGTTGTGACCTCACACGCCGTACGTCATAAAACTGAACTGTCAGCGGCTCTTTGCTTTTCTCTTGACTGTAAAACTATCATGGACATAAATCTTGTGTTGCTGAGCAGCTCAGACTCTGCAGTGACACTGATAACGTTATCCAGCACGCTGAGAGGTCGCTGTATCATACAGCAGCCGCAGCAAAGCATCATGGTATATTTTCTTTTTGTAAATGTCCACATAAAGACGGCTTCTGTGCAGCTGAAACACAGAGAGTCTTGTTGTTCTGGCCTTTGTCTGTTGTGACTGAAGCAGTGTGGGAGACAGTTCGCCTGTAGTTAGCCTCACAGCATGAATG